TATATATATATTAGCACAAAAGAGTGTATTGATCCTTACCCAAGAATTAAAAATAAAATGTGGTGAAACTACTGATCCCAAGCCAGTGCTGTGGATGAGAAAGTGTGTGACATTCACATGATTCTGTTCTAGCCAGAGGGGTTGTCCCTTTCCTGGCTTCTCCAGCAATTCTGAGACAGGCAGCTCTGGAATTGGAGTGGTATTGATTTTCCTTGTTTGCTGCATGCTCTTTCTGAAAATTAGTGAATCTAATCCTGTTTGGGTCAGCATAGCAGGAAAGTGATCATCTATACTTGAGGCTATAGTGAGGTCTGATCCAAAGGAAGAAAACTCTGCCAATGTTCTGTTTCCATTTTTTGGAGCAGTTTTCCTACTTTAATGGTAGAACCTTGGTTTTGATAAGGGTTTCACTGTCTCCTGGGCCACAGCCTACCAGCAAGTAGGGCTGCACTGCCACTTCCTCTCTTCGTTTACACAGAGGCCTCTCACTTCCTAGTTGTCCAGCTATCATTGCCAACTGAGGTGCTGCTTCTCTTCAGGTAGGCAGACTCTGAAGCCTCCTATTTTTGCCTTACAGATATGCCCCCATGTTCTCTCCATTCAGCACATCATCCTAGGGGGTGCAGATGGCGGGCACAAGAGTGCTACAGTGTGTGCACTAATGCGCCAGGAGCCCCCAGGCATCTCTGCCGACCTCAGGTGATCTAGCAAGTGCTCAGAACTGTCCTTTAATAGCTTTCAGTGTGGCTAGCTGGTAAGGCTTAGTACTAACCCCACATTATCAGCTTCCTCCAGAGCTGTCATGTGGCCATTCCCACCCTCAGCAACTCCCCAGTCTGGATACACCTTAGAAGCACCTGAGAAGACTAAAAGTATTGAAGACCTGAGCCTTACCTGAGACCCTCTGAATCAAAATCAAACCAAGAGATGAGGTTCAAGAATCTTTATGTTAAAACATTTCCCAGGAGATTTTTCTGTATCCAGCCTGGTGTAGCTCCTCTGGCCAGAATGATGTGGCTTCAGTCCTAGGTAAATTCAGCTAGAGACATCTGGTCTGGAACAAGCCAAATGGAAACTTATGAAAGAAGATGAAAGGAACTTTTCCCTCACTTCCACAAGGCCATCTGAGATGCAAGTGTGGTGCAGAATAGCCATATTACCTGGCATGCTGTTCGGTTGTTCTCACTGAGCTATTCACCCTTCCACCTATCTACTCACCTACCTATCAATCCATCCATCCTTCATCACCCATCAACCTCCTTATCTAATCAAACAAATCTTGAGCTCATGCTCTGTATATTAGACCCTGTGTTCTGAAGCTATAAAGGGGAAACACCCTGGATCCTGCCCTCCACAAGCTAGCTGTCCTATAAAAGTAATAAGCCCGGCCACAGATGGCTCTAGCCTTATGTTTTCCAAAGGGGAAAAGGAATGGGTATCTTCTTAAATAGAGCAAGGTTAAGCTTAGAGCCCTCACCAGTTAAAAAAAACAATATGGATTTTTTTCAATTGATTTTTCAGTGGTAGTTAATATTGGGTTTTCATTTATGAAAATGACATAAAATTTTCCTTTAAAATAAGCCTATTAATAAACTCAGTGTATTATCACTACAAAATCATTAAATGGCTACAGTTCAGAAGACTACCATACATGGGTGAAAATGTGACTATCCAGAGCTCTCACACACTACAGGTAGTCATGTAAAATGGTACAGCCTAGGGCCAGCCAAATAGCTCAGCGGATTAAAGCGCCTGCTTAGGCAGATGCAGGGGCCGGGAGTTTAATTCCCCAGGCCTGCTGTGCCAGTGCTGCCCCTGGGGCACACTGAGATTGTGATTGAGACTGGGCGTGGTGGTACACACCTATAATTCCAGCACTTGGGAGGCTGTAAACAGGAGGATCACTATGAGTCTGATCTATGCAGTGAGACCCTGTAGACCCTGTCCTAAATACCAAAAAAAAAAAAAAAAAAAAAGAAGGTATATCCATTGTGGAGAACTCTTTGGCATTTCCTCTATTGTTAAATATGCATGTACCATATAACCCAACAGCTCCCTTCCTATGAATTTGCCCAAGAAGAATGTTAGCTTTTCATTAGCATAGCACATACCTAGGATATCCAACTTAGAGAACATTTTTATTTGGTTCACAGTTTTAGAGTTTCAGCCCATGACCAATCAGTTGGCCTTCTTTCACTGTGGAGGGCAATGTGGAATACCATGGGGGGGTACATGACAGAGCAAACTCATTTACCTCATCATAACATCATGAGCTAGTGAGAAGAGGAGGGAAGGCCCAAAGAGTTCCACTGTGCCCTTTGAGAGCATTCCTCTGTGATCTGAAGACCTCCCTGTAGGCCTCACTGCCCAAGTTCCACTACCCACCTCCGTGTGGTACCAAGCTGGAATCCAAACGTTTAATACAGGGCCCTTCAAGGGGTGTTCCAGACCCAAACTATAGCAAAGAATGAAAACAAATGAACACACACAGACTTGCACACAAATGCTTATAGCAATTTTATCAGTAGTATCCAAAAGCTGGACATGGTCTAGGTGTCCATCAGCAAGATGAATAAGTATCCATGCTATAAAGTACTACTCTGCTAAGAAAAAAAATCTGCTTCCCATGAGACATAATAAATCTCAAAATCATTATGCTGAACAAAAGAAATCAGACACTTAAGAGTATGTTCCATTTTATGAAACTGTAGCAAATATATAGCAATGTAAAGCACAAGACACCTTGTAGGATGATGTAAGTGTTCTATTTATTAATATAGCAGTACATATGTGTGTTTAAAACTTCATCAGACTGTATGTTGATGAGTGCATTATGTATGTAAATTATTCTTCAACACAGTTGCTTTATTAGGTAATATTTAATATGGCAAAAACCATGGAAGTGCTAGAACACCTGAAGTTTAGGAAGTGAAATTCCAAGACATTGTGGAGGGTTGACAGTTTCCTCAAAGAAGCACAGATGAAATTCTGTGTCACTTCAGAGGGAGAAAGGATTTCTCACAATGGGAAGCTGGATAGTGGCGGGAGCTTCATACAGTACACGATACTTGTGCTGAGCCTCGGAGTCCACCTGAGGCCAGAATGAATACACAAGTGAAACTGGGTTGAAATTGATGTCAGAGACTTGAGATGAGTGGGGAAGGGCAAGAACAGAATTTAAAAAAAAAAAAAAAAAAAAAAAGATGGTGACATGAAGGGTAGGGGCAGTCCAACCACCTTGGCCCTGTGACACCCAAAGACTTTTGTAATCATGAAACCTGCACAGACAGACTTCAGCACCACCTGGTGAGGCACCAGTTCTCTCCTGCTCAGAGAACTTGAGAGGCAGTACAGCTTAGCAATGGAACTGGGATGAAGGTGAGGCAAGCGAGGCACCAGTGACACATGATAGGAGGCAGCATCAACAAATAGCCCACTCCTGCACCTCCAGGATCCTGGCAAGGTGTCTTTTACATGCTTCACCCTAGTCACGGCCCTATTTTCCATTTATCTATATCAGATACCCTATTTGATTCTGCTCCTCATAGATCTCACAGTCTAGTGAGCTTGGGAAAGATGACTATAAGAGGAGCCCAGAAACCTATAGCTACTCCAAGGAGAGATAACAGACCCAGAAGGAGCAAAGGGATAGAAAATTTCAGGAACAAATGAAACCTTACCTAAGACTTGGAGAAGACTGGTCCAAAGGAGGGTACAGGTTTGTCTTCTAATTCTGCCTGGCCTGAGATTTGGAATTTGACTTCTGAAAGTGAGACGCCACTAGGCACCAATTTACAAAAACTAATGTGCATCTGTGTCACCCTCCCCATCCTCTCAAGGCTTTGTAGGTTTGTGACATGGCCAGAGAAGCTCTCCACTTCCCCGACCTCCCAGACAGGGTCTATCCCAGCAACCTCACCGCCTGTCAGCTTGCCATCAGTCCCAACTACATTCAAGTCTGCTGATACAGAATTCAGTGATTCTATTAGGTAAGTGAAAGTGAAAAAGCAGAGTGGATTTTTCTTCAATAGCACGCTTTTCTCTAATCTGACTTACATCCTTAAGACTGATCCTCATGGATTCATTCAATCGGTAAACAGTTAAGGGTATGTGAGTATCTTCTATGTGTAGGCGCTAGATTATCCCCTGTGTGCCTTCAGAAGAATATAGAATTCTGGATCCTGGGGGATGGAACCTTTCACGTGGCCCTCGGCATAAGGTCAACGTCTAAAGCTGGGACCAAACCCATGAAAACAAGCAGGACCAGGTATGATGATCCATCAGCCATTGAATCCTCATAATAAAATGCTCTGGTAAATTAGGAAATTTAACATGGAGCACTGAGGACCCATCCAACGCACATGAAACATTAGTGGAGGCAATTATGTAAATTGGACATAGCCTTGACCTAGCAAAGAAAAGGGGTAGACCCTACAGAAAATTGACCATGTTAGTGGCCTAGACTTCACATTTGGGGCAGAGGACAACCAAGCTCTTGACCTCTTATGAAAGGTGCCCCATGACTGAAACTTACCCTTCCTCTCGAGGTGTGGGAGGTATAACTGAGACGATGCAGTCATGGCTGCCACATGAGTGACTCTGTTTCATTTCATTTCCCAGGATTTCCCTGATGGGTGAAGATGTTGGACCTAAAGGAAAAGAACTGAAAAAGATCAGAGCATCCACCTTGATCTCAGATGTACGGTTCTTTGCCCTGGGGGCAGACTGACAAGGACAGGGTCTCTCCCAGAATGAGGGCAGATTTAGGAGCAGAGAGGCCAGTGCAGAGGATGAGCTGGAAAGAGGTCCAGATCATATCCCAAGTAAACCTTCCCAGAGTCAATACCTTAACATGAGTTCAGGAACCAGATCTCCATAATGGAAAAGCCAGTTACTGTATCTCCAACCCTGGATCGCCTTGTCTTCTTCCCATCCCCTAGATAGAGGCTACTAAGAGGGCGAGATTTTTCTGAGTACTTCCATAATAAAAATGAGATGATCAAGAAAATTTAACAATGCATAACCTTAAATTCTCCTTCTGGAATGATGCCCTAAGGAGAGCATCAAAGATCTGCAAAGACAGCCAGGAAGGGTCACTAACCCAACCCCCTACAGGAGAGGCCACTCTTCTGAGTTCATGCCCACTTGCTCTATGACTCGCCTCCCATTTGATCCCCAGTTCATCAGTTTTACCTGAGCGGTTGTGCTTGTACTCTTATTGGTTGACCAGTTTTGTCCCACCTCATGCACACCTACTGAGGTCCCATATTTCCCACCTTAGACCTGCCTCGCCTCATGGCTTTGCTCTATAAAAATCCCTAGAAAAGTCAGGGTCCTTGCAACCCACACGGGTCCCCTTCTGTCCCTATCTTGGACAGAAGCTTTCTTTTCCCCAAATAAATAAATTCTGCTCTTAAAAACAAAATAACAACAACAAAAAAGGTAAGCAAAGATGTTTTTACGCTTTAGCAATAGCAAAATATTGAAAAATAAATAACTGTGTCCATGGTAACATACAATATTTTTAAATAGCAGTCATATCAATGCACAGGCATGAGCAGGCATTTCCACACTTTGTAGGAAGAATGTGAATTGCCATAACCTCTATGATATGCAGCTTGGCGAGCATCTCATAATCTAAAATACATAGTTCCTCTTCTAGAAAAGTATTTTCTAGATAGGTTTTTATGCTTACATATACATGTGACTATCCTTGTACACTACGCCCTTGTAGTACACTACAGCTTTATTTCTGAGAGCAAGAAAAAGTGGAAACAACTACACCAATAGGAGACTAATTGAATAAACTGCATACTGTACTACTGAAGTACCATGAAATCCTTTTTAAAAACTGAGAAAATTTCCTGTATACTGATTTGGGTGATCTGTGATATATTTAGTTAAAGTGCTAGAAGCAAAACAGAATGCATAACATGTTACCAAGTATATAAAAACAGCTGCATTTTCTGAGCATTTATATGCTTTACCCTATCCTAAACTTTTTTTTTAATTTTAGGGAAGGGTCTACAGGGTGTTCAGGGTCTCACTACTAGATCAGACCCGTAGTGATCCACCTGTTTGCAGCCTCCCAAGAGCTGGGATTACAGGCATGCACCACCACGCCCAGTCTCAATTGCCATCTCAGAGCACGGGGGGGGGGGGGGGCTGGCAAGACAGGCCCGGGGTTTGAACCCCCGACCCCTGCACCTGCTTGCAGGCACTTTAATCCTCTGAGCTATTTGGCCAGCCCTTTTTTTTTTCTAAGCATTTTTAATTAACTTTTATTTCTCCTACAACTTTATGAAGTGAGTACTATTACCTTTCCCTATTTTATCTATGAGGAGACATATCCATTAAGCTGTGGAGCTGGAATATTTGGCAATCAGGTCACATATATGTATTTTATGTCTCAAATAAGTCCATAGATATATTTGCTTATGCATAGAATGTCTCTAGAATGCAACCTTCGTGAGGGCAGGAATTTTATTCTGTTTTGTTCACTATTGTATCCCTAGTACCTGGAATTGGTCCCCAGGAAGCCCTTGAAAGTATTGATCAGTTAAAGAAAATAACTAAGTGAACATATCAGTGTATAAATGGATAGTGGTTATGAGGGGAGAGGAGCTGAAGAATTGGAAGAAGGGATGGGAGTCTCCCTTTGAATATTTTAAATTGATATCATGTATATGTACCAACTATTTTTAATATTTAAAAATATATATGCAGAACATTCAGTCACATAGGGAGGGTGACACTCATAATGTCAACTGAAAAATCAGAGTACAAAATATAGATGCATATATTATCAATATACACACATATTTATAACCTATTGATTGATTTTTGTTGCTTTGGAGCTTTTTTTAATTTTCAAATTTTTAGAATAAGTATGTAAATATATAAAATACTTATTTTTCAAATGTTCCTTTTTTCTATTTGTAAATGCTCCTTTTTTCTTTGTCATAGAAAATTCAGTAATACAGAAAAATCTTCAAAATCCATCCTTCACAGAAAAATACTTCTTTTTTTTTTAATGTACTTGATACAGGGTCTCACTACACAGCTCGGACTCATAGTGATCCTCCTGTTTTCAGCCTCCCTAGCACTGGGAATACAGGCATGCACCACCATGCGCAGACTCAGTTGCCAGCTCTGTGTGCCCAGGGGGCAGGGCTGGCACAGCATCCAGGGCTCGAACCCCAGTCCCTGCACTTGGCTAAAGCAGCACTTAGTCCGCTGAGTTATCTCACCAGCCCTAGAAAAATACTGTTGAAACAACAACTTGCCAGGTATCTGTGTATGCAAATCTCAGGATGAATGAATACATACTCGCACTTTCACTCAGGAGACCTATCATGAAGGGAATTTCTTTCTTACCCAATTCTTTGTGCATCAGTCACAGCCCATAAATACACAGGGTGTGACCTATGGATACACTTACCAATACGCTTTGTCTAAGGTGACCCCTATTGATGGAGCAGTTAGTTTGCTTCCAGGCTTTGCTATTATAGTAGCATTGCAGTAAACATCTTTACAGATACATTTGAGCACTACCCTATTATCTCCCTAGGAAAATGCAATATTTCATGATCATATGCAATGCATCTCCTTTTTATATGGGAAAGGTACATATAAATGATCCATTATAAATGCTTTCTAGCTTTTCTTCATGTCTTTAACTTCTAGGAAAGAAAAATTAGCCCTTCTGAAACAGAAGTTAGCCAGAGCCAACTGGAGTTTGAGGAACCCTTATGGCTTTCTCAAGAGGAGCTGGTTTCCATGGGGATAGAAGAGGTAAGTAATACTCCTGCATCCTGAGACCTTCTGGTGCAATTTTTCTAATGAGCACCTGCCCCACATTAGAAACCTCATCTCTCCAGAATGCTGTTAATACCGTTCCCATCATATATGTTCAGGGCGCCAGAGTGCTGGGCTCGGCACCTCTTACAGAATCAAACAACAGCTAGGAATACACCTGCCAATCAACAGAACTTTACCTTACCCGTGACGGCCACATTGTCCTGGCAGCTGTTCTCATATAGGATGGCTCTCTCTGCAGGTATTTGATATTTTGCCCCTCTATGGAGCCCTGCGGCCCTACAGCAACCACCAAATATCCTTCACCTTCTACGGACACTGTGACATCACTGCACAGGCCAAAGCTATGTGTGAAGTGGAAGGCGGGCCCACCTATGAAATAACACTGAAGGGACAAGCTTCTACGGTCAACTATTCCTTTGACACCAAGGATATTAACTACGGGCTACAGGTACTGCTAACCAGTGGGAGAACATGTTCTGGTTTTGCTTTAAATATGAACGATACCCCTTGTCCCTGAATCTCTCCTGAATACCAGTCAGCTCAATCTCATGCTCATCCTTGCCCTGGATCCCTATTCTGCTTTCCTGACTCTGATCATCCTCCTCACCAGCTTCTAGAACTCAACAGTGTTGGTGCTCACATGTCTATCCGGAAGCTCCTCCAGCCTCCCTGGTCTCATTAGCACTGCCATTTCCTCACACCTTAGTGCGAGTCTGCAAGCCTTTTCCCCTGCACTCTACCCTGTACTCCACATCTTTTTAACATCCAGTGCTTGCCACTTTATCTACCAAGTCCTGCTCTGAGTCAGTTTTTTTCATTTTCTGGCCTCTGTGACCACACTACAGGGCCTCATCGAGCCATACCTGATTCCCTGCCGCAGCTCTTCCCATGCTGTGTGTGTACGAATCCATCTGCTCATGTGCAGATTCTGCTTCTGTTGGTCTGGGCAGCATGAGAATCTGAATTTCTAACATGCTCCTTCAGACCCGCTGCAAGCAAGGGTCACAACACATTCACAGCTTCTTCCTGTAACCCACAAAATATCGCTTCCAGATTAGCTTTCCCAAAGTTACCTGTCATCTTTCATCTCATCAGTCCATGACTAATTAATCCCAGAAGTGTTTGGAAAAGCAGTGTAGTACTGATGAGCAAAGAGCATGGTCTTATATCCTGTTTTGCTCCCTACTGTGTTATCCTTACTGTGTCACCACATGACCCCTCCAAGCCAGGGTATCTTTCATCTAGAAAATGGGAGCAGGTAGAATACTTGTTCCTCCACCAGGGGGTTGTGGCTACTTAAGTATCTGGCCAATGCTGTGCCAAGTAGGCCTTCAATCACCATGAGTTCCTTCCTTTCTCACTCAGGGCCAGGTTCCTCCATGTGGATGAGGGTATCCTAAATTCCTCTATACACTGATGCTTCTTACATAGGAATTTCATTACCAGTCATTCCCCATTATGGCCCATTCATTTGCTTACAGCCAAGCCAGTTGACCCAGTAACTTTAATTCACCCTGTCCTTCCTACCTCCACGCTTGCTCTTTTATTATCCCTGCCTCCTCTCCTCTGCCAAACCCAAACCTTTACATCCTATAGACCCAGCTCAGCTCCTTTCCAGTTTCCTTATTTTCTATCCCCTTGGCAATTAGAAATGAACTTTGCCATAGTAGAATATGTTTCTAATGTTTGCCTTGGGATAATTGTCAGTTGGTTCTGTCTGCACCTTTTCTCTCCAATTAGATTTTTTTTTCAGGTTGACTTTATGTTTTATTTTATTTTAGAGATCCAATTAGATTTTGTGTTACATACTCAGAGGCCATATGTTCTACCAAATTTAACGAGAATTCAATGTCCATTCATAGCTAGTTCCTGTGTAATTATTGGATTATGTGTGTTTTTAGGTTAAAAATTGTACCTAAAGTCCAGTTCACCTAACACTGATTGAAACTGTCTTCACTGTGCTCATCAAATAGATTTTTTTTTCATATTTAGTGCAAGGTCTGCAGGATCTCACTACACAGATCAGACTCATAGTGATCTTCCTGTTTATAGCCTCCCAAGCACTGGAATTACAGGCATGCGCCACCAAGTCCAGTCTTAGATTTTCTTTTCTTCCGTATCTACAGGGTTCTCAGGCCAATTGGCTTAAGCTCATCTTTGAGTGCATTCTTTGAAACAACTAGTCCTTGCCCTAGCTTATTCTAAGGACTTCTAAAGTGGTCTCATTTACTCTTATTAGGCTTACTATATTATCTGGTGAATTGTGTTAGTGAAAGATCAAAAAAAAAAAAAATAATGGAACTAGCCTATCTCAACCGTGGTGTCCATATAAATGGAAAAATTCGTTACAGAACATTGTGACCTCAGATCTTACGTTCTTCTTATAAATAGAATCCAAAAGCCAAATAATCTTAGTATTGAAAACGTACCTTAAGATTCTCTAATACAAGTTTCTGTGGTATACAAGAATCTGAGGTATGAAAGTTAAGTATTCACCCACAAGGCCATTAGTGAAGTAAACAAGTGGTCCTCTTGACCCAAGAAGCTGCCTTTCTGTGATGATGAAATGCGGATTGGCTGGTATGTCTCTCACAAGGAGCAGAGGCCATGTCTCCTTTCATCAGAGGGACAACAGCGTCCCAAAAGTGGGTAGCAAAAGAGTCACCCTTTCTTCTTCTCTCCTGCAGCTGTTTGACCATGTCACAGAGCGTGAGATCACACTGAAGAACACTGGGAAAGTTGGCTTTGACTTCAAGATTTTGACTGACCACCAGTCTCCCCCATACATCCTTCTCCCTGGGGTGCCATGGATCGAGCCTCTGTCGGTGAGTGAACAGTGGGAGGGGCCAATTGAAAAGGACAGACCACAACCCAGAGGTAGGTGAGTGCTCTTCACGGCCAAGACTATGAGAGTCACTTTTAAAAATCATCATTAAAATTAAAGAATTCAAGGGCCAGCCACATAGCTCAGCAGATTAAAGCTCCTGCTTAGGCAGATGCAGGGACCGAGGTTCCATCCCTGGCATGCCATGCTAGCCCCGCCCCTGGGGCCCACTGAGGTAGCCATTGAGATTGGGCATAGTGACATGTGCCCTGTAATCCCAGCAATTGGGAGGCTAAAAACAGGAGGATCACTATGAGTCTGATCTGTGTAGTGAGACCAAATAGACTCTGTACTAAATACATTTTTAAAAAAATTAAAGAACTCAGAAGGAAGAAAATTAAATAAATTCAGACTACTTACATATTAAATAAGAATGAATTAAATCCTACATTAGCCATTTCCTTGGCACTAGGGAGACATCTATAAACCAGACAGATACAACTTAAGGACTTCTTTGCCTGACAATAAAAATTAATTTTACTTCCACTGATCTCTTCACACTTCTCCTGTAATTCTCAAATGCCTTGTCCACCACCTACTCCAAGTAAGAGCACTTTTTACTAGCAGATGTGAAAAGACCAACAGATGACATTATTGTTTTTTAAAGGCAAATGTACAGCTGGGTCCTTGCTCATATCATATTGACCCATCAGTGTTAGCACTTTTGATGAAATTTTCTCACCATGAAAATAGCATATAATTGCTAGAAGGTAACTGGAAAATATTAAAACAAAGAATAAATGAATGATTGTTCATGATATTATAATCCAAAGATAATGGATGTTACCGTCTTTGGTGATCTGTCCTTCCTCTAAATGATCACTTCTATTTAGGGTATTGCTAGCCTCCCTAATCCTCTCTGACCCGCTTATCTGTCCCCACACTAATACTGTATTATCTTAATTGTTGTGGCTTTAAAAATGCATCTTAATATCAGTTAGATGTGTCCCTTTTTCTTCTTAATTTTCCAATTTGTCTCAGCTATTCTTTTGAATCGACTCTTACGTTCTGTGTCTCTGACTTCCTGAGTGCCTACTTTTACTCCTTTCTTGATTAGTTGAAAAATGTGAGACTATTTGCCTGATTGTACCTCTCCCTATAAATTATAGGAAAATGATAAATAAAAAAGTAGAAGTTAGTTTTAAATATGTGTGAATAGCTGCCATAAATTTCATTGTTTCCTAAATTGTCTAGAACTAGTTTTATTTTAAGCTTAATTTTAAAATATACTTTTATTATTTCTAAATAATTAAGATTTTTTGTTATTTAAGCTCTTATTAATATTAATATTGAGGGGGGCTTGTGTCATGATCAGATAATGTAGCCTTCTCAATTCCTACTTTGTGAATTTGCATGTTTTAGTAGTCTAAAATGATTTTTTAATCTCATGAATGCCTGAAAACAACATTTCCTAGTCTATAGAATCCAGATTATCATGAATATTATATTAAGCTGAATAATAGTGCCCAAATCTGTATCTTTTTCTCTTTAGCTTTTCTGAGACTAAGTGGTATATAAAAACTTTTGTACATTTTCCACCTATTTTCTATAAATCTGTGAAAATTTCTGTTTTAAACATTTTTGTTTCTGTCCTGAAGCGGCTGATGACAATGATGTGGACAATATGTCTTACCTTTTTAAATTGCCGTTGTGCTCCTTAACGCTTCTTGCATTCAATTCTACTGTCTCGATACTGGCATTCCTGCCTCCTTTTTGCTGTATATTGCTTGCCCATCAGCTGTTTTAAAATATACAGAGTTGAATTTTATTTTTTAACCTCTCTAGACATCTTAGGTTTCAACAGGGAGATTTAGCATGTTTTTATCATTACTATACTTGAAATAATTGGTATTATTTCTTTCATTGTATCTCCTACATAATAAAAATTTTCTTAATGTCTTTCCATTCTATCTTTTAATCATAATTACTACATTTTTCTTGCTCTTTTCTCTAACTTTCCTTTCAAGCATTTGAATTTACCTTGCTGCTTTCTGTGTAAATTGATATAACTCTAAAGAAAACAGTTTGACAGTGTCTATTAAAATTACTCTTTGATCCAGAAATTTTGTTTCTGATCATCATATATGAATGTTCCCCACTTATAAAATATATATATTATTATTTACACACTCTGTAATGACAATAATGAAAAAGCACAAACAAAACCAAATGTCTTGGGCTCACTTCAGCAGCACATATACTAAAACTAAGTGTTGGGGCCGGGGGCTCAATCCTTAGCCTTCCATGCTGGCCCCACCCCCAGGGCGTGCTGAGACAGCAATTGAGATTGGGCATGGTGGCGCACACCTATAATCCCAGCTCTTGGGAGGCTGTAAACAGGCTAATCACTATGAGTGTGATCTAGTAGTGAGACCCTGAAAACCCTGTAGACCTTTCCCTAAAATACAAAGAAAACCTTAAATGTCATCATCAGGGAAATAGTTCTTTTTTAATGTATTTATATTACATAATATAATAATATGCAGCAGTTAAGAGGGATAAGGTAGCTCTAGATGTACTAACATTGAGTTAATTCTAAGATATATAGCTCTGTAGAAAGAAAATGTGAAAAATAGTATTTTTTGCTACCATCTGCCCTTTTAAATACATACATATATATGTAATCTAGATATATAAGCTAATGTTTAGTATTTTTGCATCTTAGTTAGTGATCATTGATCCATAAATTTCTTTATTCATACTATGTTTGACTAGGTTGGATATCATAAGAAGAAATGGTTTTTTTTCTCTTGTCTATTCCCTAGAATGGTTTTTGAACTCAAGTTATTGTTTTTTTAAAAGGTTGGCAGAACTTATATATCTAATATCATATATTCCATTTTCTCTAGGAAGATTTATGGAAAGCAGCAATAACTTGTACTTACAACTATGATTTATTTTGCCACATTATTTTAGATTAGTTTCAAAGTAAAATCAACAAGGGCCGGGGAGATGGCTCAGTGGAATAAGCACTTCTCTGGCAAGCGCAAGAGCCTGAGTTCAATCCCTGGCTCTGCAAAAAAAAAAAAAAAAAAAAAAAGTAAAATCAACAAAGGGAAAAAGTCAGACGGGGCAAAGTCAGAAGAAACCAGGATGAGGTTCCAAGGGTCCTCTCTCAGTGGAATCGACACAGGACCTTGGGTCCCCTGGCAACAAGTTGTGACAACAATGTGGGCGATGCTGGGAGCTCATCAGTGCCTGCCACATAAGCACGCTCTGCCTGGCACACACCAAAGTTCCAGACACCCAGAAAGGAAGAGGCACTCACCTAAATCATACCATGCGCGCAGTTCAGGTGCAGCCAGCTGACGGGGGTGGGGTGCTGGACAGAGCCTTCCAGTGTCTCAGTTCCCCGATGCCCGCTGGCCTTTCTGAGAACAAAGCCTCCGGGTCTGCCACGCTAGCCTTTGTCTGCACCGTCCCTTGCTTTTGAGCCAGGGCTTTTTATGTGTCCAAATGGGATTTGTCTCCTCTGCATTTTTTTTTCCTTTTCAGTAAGGGAACTTTCCTACTATGAAGTCAAAATTTTTATAAGTGAAAATAAATACTGATGTAACTCAACAGTATTCACACATTTATTTTTTGTGTGTTTTTTTTAATTTTATGTATTTGATACAGGGTCTCACTACACAGCTCGGACTCATATTGTAGCAATCCTCCTCTTTCAACATCCCTGGCGCTGGGATTACAGGTGTGCACCACCACACTCAGTTTCCATGGCTGGCTCTGCACACCCGGGGCAGGACCAGTGCAGCATGTGGCCTCAGGGATCCAGCCCAGGTCCCTGTGCTTACCAGGCAGGCGCTTAGACTGCTAAGCTATCTCCCTTACTACACACATCTGAATGTGTAATAAAAGAGAGAAAAGTTTCCCCTCAAGCCTTCCACCAGAGAGCTGGTTTTTCTGGAAAAACACACTGCTCAGTGATGTGTGTTCGCACCCAAGGAGGGGTGCAAAGAGAGAAGGCACCAGTGAGGGCACAGCCTGGAGACACACAACGCAGCACATTGTACAGTTTGACTCCACAACATGGACCCTTGTACACACACACACACACACACACACACACGCACACACACACACACATGCACATGCTCACTCACACATACATTCCATAACATGTGTACAATTTCATAAGGTGGCTCATGTGAGTGATATCTTAGGAAATTTGGTGACAGGTCAGTCCTATGCATTTTCTCAAAACTGAATATGTTTGGGGACCTGCCCAGCAGCTCAGTTGTTTAAGTGCCTGCTTAAACAAAGCCCTGAAGCTCAAGCTTCTGGTGTTCCAAACCAGAGTCACTGCAAACGAGAAATGCCCTAAAGGCATTTCGAGCTTCCAAAAAAAAAAAAAAAAAAAAAAAAAAAAAAAAAAAAAACTGAATATGTTTTACCAGTCTTGTAATTTTAAAACTTCTTACTGAGATCTTCACTTGAATTTCCGATGAATTTTGAAGATGCGCGTAGTTTACTGTTGTCACTTTCCCTTTGTGTTGCCTCTTTTATGAGCTATGGGCTCATGTGTCTTGCTCCCGCTTTCTTTTCGGCTCCTCACAGTGTCACAGGACTAGACCATGGGGGTGTGTGTAAGGAGAGAATAAGCAGAACAGGGAGGTGGCCTCTGGCTTCTCTAGTCCATCGCCTTCCGCCATAGAGGTCCATTTATGAACCCCGCGTGCTCCTCATCTTCCCACTGCATAGGGTTTCATCAGCTCACACAGCGAGCAAGTGTTGAAGGTCTACTATTTACCTGGGATACCTGAGGTCTTTCAAAGGAGCTTCCAGATACAGATCGCCCACCTGGACCCAGAAAACATCTCTCTGAGTGGAGAGGGAATCTTTCCCCGGATCAGCCTGGATCTCCCCAGGAACCTCCAAGGTACCACTGCCCTTAGTCTCTTCCCACTGGGGTCTAATGGTACATTCTGGCTTTGCTTCTTTGAAGATTTATTTATCTCCCTGGCAATGCCCTTTTGTTCCATTCTGTGTTATTCCTCAATTGCTAGGAAGCGGAGGGGGTGAATTTGACTCAGTGTAGCCTACAGGGGTACCAAACAGAGATCTCTGGCCAATTTTCTATCATTGAACTACATATAGAGAGATCAGAAAATTTCACTTCCAAAGGCATTTCAGTCCAATATATGTTCCTTTCAGCCACGGTTCTCCCCAAATCCCCTCCCCTAATGTCACATTCATGCTGTCTTCCTGATTGAGAAGGTGAGGGCTGACGAGCTGCCAGGTATAGAATTCTCAAAGTAAAACTGCATGGAAAGGCCCCTTATTTTGGAATCTCAGGCTCTGCAGGATGAATGAGACACTACTAGGTGCCTGCCACATGCCTACTAGAGGCTTTTCTAGTCACATATGGCTTCCAGAGCCATCTTCTGTACCAAGCCGATATTTATGCCGTGGTAGATCCCCAAGCTCAGCTGTAGACTCTCTGGCTTTTACTTCTAAAAAGGGCACACTGGACCAAGGGTCAAGAAAAACTGTTCATCTCCACGTGCCCCTTGGAGCATCTCAGAATCACTTCCCCTGCAAATCTTCGGCCAAACCCTCTTTCCCCAACCTCACATCTGCCCGATTCCTTCAAGTCACTAGCTTTTTTGTTCATGATCTTCTGTTAAATTCTACATGTTTGCTCTCTGAAGACATGAATGTAAATGTTAATAAAACCAAGACTATTTACAGTCTAGTAGCTGGAGGTACAGCCAGAGAGGGAGCACTCCCACTCCACAAACAGTCATCCCTCAGTGTCCAAAAGGAATTGGCTCCAGGACCTTCTTTCGATGCCCAAATCCATGGATGCTCAGCTTCCTTAAATAAAAAGGCATCACATTTGCATATCAACTTTATACATTTTCTGTGTACTTTAAATCATCTCTAGACATCTTATAAATGTAAATGCAGCAGTTGTGGTATGACTGTGGTGCTTTATTATTGGGGATGAGGACAAGGAAAAATTCTGTACATGTTCTCTACAATCACAATTTTTCTAAATATTTTTGAACCATGGTTGTTAAGCATGCAGGCACAGAAATTACAGATACAAAGAACCAAATATAATTGTCAGAAGAAAATTCTTTACCATGTACTTTGAAAACTAGGTGCCCAGCTGGTCTGACCAGGGCAGCAGACTTAGCTTGACCAGTAAGGGCTTAAAAATAGCTAAAATTGAACAGCATTGGTGTGGCTTATTGCTACAGCCTGCCACACTCTCAGCTTTTCCTTTTGTTTTACAGTGGGCATTGTGGTCACTTTGCCTTACTTGCCCCCAAATCATCTGAATTTGCTCTGGATTAGTGTCAATTTAAGTTCCAAACTCCAGTTCCCTTCCTGGCTTATTTCGATTTAGTTAAAGTAGCATGATCTAAATATATTCTAGGGCTGGTGAGATGGCTCAGTGTTCTAAAGCACCTACTTAGAACAAGCTCAGCAAAGCACAGGGACCGCGGTTCAATCCCCCAGCACCACATGCCAGCCAGCTCCGCCCCCTGGTGGGCTGAGCTGGCCACACGCAAATAAATAAAAATTAAAAAAATAAATAAATAAATAAATAAATAAATAAATTCTACATGACCCAAATGCATTCTTTTTTTTTTTTTTTTCTTTTTCTTCAGTACAAGGGATCGAACTCAGTACCTTGAGCTTGCCAGGCAGGCACTTAGGCTGCTGAGCTATCTCCTTGGCCCTCAAATATATTCTTTTGTTAACTGAAATTTATTTTTTCATTTCAAAATCACCTCCCACATCTTTATTTTTTTTAATTTTTTAATAGATTGCAAATTGAAAATAAATTATTTACAAACATAAGTGAATATAACAAAAATTGTCCAAAATAAAAATGAAGAAAGAATTTACAGATCAGTCATAATAGTGTTAACTGAAATTTAAGAAGCATGAAAACCGATGTAAAAGGTGACCCAGTGCCCCAGTCTGACCAACGTTGGGCTAGGAGTAATCCCAGGATGTACAGGGTTTGGTGCTGCAACTGGAGCAGTTCCAAGTAGCCCTGTTGCTCCTGTCAAGTCTTTGAGAGTCAGCTGACTCACTCAGATTCAATTACATGAAACTCAGTGAGGTCTCAGATACAGATGTCCTCTCCCTCTCTAAGTAGAAGGGGAAAACGTAGCTGGTGAAGCATCAGAAAGTTCACTTCCTTCTCACTTTATCCTGAGCTGAGAGTCTGCGTTGGGGCCATAAGTCATAGTTTTCCAACCACCGTGATTCCTTTTGCCTTTCAACCACCACAGGCAATGAAAAATATAAAACCTTCTTGGATCTAGCCCAAAAAAAGGCAAAAAAAGAGAACAATAAAAATGAAATTCACAGTCACTCTGAGATGGTAACTGAGGAAATGCCTGAGGATGACTCTTCTGAGGTACGTCTAGCTTCCCTCTGCTTGGAATGTGTGTGGGGAAGAATGGTGTATGCCAAGGGCCAGGGGCAAGAAGGACATGGGGAAGACAAAGATATGAGCGGAGACAAAGAAGAGGCAATGTGACGGAGGCCAGCTGAGCCTAAAAAGGTGAGAATCCACTGGCAAATATGTGAAGGGTTTTAGACTTTTTCGTGAGCACAACAGGAAGCCACTCAGTGTTTCAACCAGAAAGGTGGCATAATCACATTTGCACCGTTATAAGAACCCTCTAGCTAATTTATGGAACTTCAAGGGGACAGCATTTGAGGGAATGAGAGTCAGGGTTTTTTTAGAAATCTGGTGGAATAACTAGGAAAGAGATGGGGATGATGAAAATAATGGCAGTGGTGGGGATGGAGACAATTGGGTGGGCTCAAGGTGGACTGGTCAGGGATTAGGCATTGAATGGATATGGTATAAGGTATTGGGTGACCTGCAGACCTCACACTCAGATGACAAGGTGAGGAGATAGGAAACTCAGAAGCATGATTTTATGGGAGGGGCAAGAAGCAAAATGAGATTTCTGATGAACATGAGATTCTGTGCATCAGCCAGTAGAGAGTTAGAGATGTTCCTAAGAGCCCAGGAAAGAGAGATAGGTTGAAGAAAGTGATTTGAGAACCATCCAGTGGTCACTGTAATCACAGGAAATGGTGAGATGTCCTAGGATGTGTAGGGAGGGAACAAGGAAGAGGGTAGATTTAGAAGGGAGCTCTGCTAAAGTAGACAAGTGAGATTGCATCAAGAATAAAGCCCTCAGGGCCAGCGGTATAGCTCAGTGGACTAAGCACTTATTTAGGTAAGTGCAGAGCCAGGGTTCAATCCCTGGTACTGCATGCCATACCAGTCCGACCTCAGGTGTACAAAGTTGGCTTTGGAGTCCAGGCATGGTGGTGCAGGCCTATAACCTCAGCACTAAGGAGGCAGAAATCAGGAGGAGGATCACTATGAGTCTGAGCTGCATAGTGAGACCCTGCACACACACACACACACACACACACACACACACACACACACACACAAAGAATGGAGCCCTCCAGTATAACAAGCCCTGAGTGGGGAAGAAGGGTGGCCAAAGAGATTCAGGAAAAAATCGGGATCACATGGTGCCACAGAGTGGGAGCTATGCCAAAATGTGGTCACTATAGGGAGGACATGGACCAGCTTATAAATAAAGGCTGCAGTAGGAAGTAGCGCAGGAAAGGAGAGTCTCAAGATGTCCTACATCACCAACTCCTAAGGTTCTTTTCCAAGAATCTATTCCTAATCCAGAACACTGCTCACTCCCTGGGCTCTGATTTTAAGATGCAAATGTCTGGAACTATTACCCGTGGAACAATGGTGTTTGTAGCTAAAGGGCCTTAGAGTGGTCAAGAGGAGGTTCGAAGGCTGGGAGTGAATTCATCCATTTGCCCATTGCCAAGATGCAGTACCAGATTTCCACAACTTGAAGGAGGAGAGGTTTATCCTGGCTGTCCCTGAGAAGCACCACTGCTTGTCCCCTGCTAGCCCCCCTCCCAGGATGCTCCGCAGTGGATCTCTAAGACAGGTGTCTCTGGCAGCGATTCCTGTCTGGATTTAGGTTTCTGTGAACTGGACAGGACCTGCAGAGCCGAGCTATTCCTCCCAAGTGAGGCCCAGATCCACTGCTCCTGGCTCAGGAGCCAGGCCTTGTGTGGCTTTGCCATCCAAGCCTCCGGATGCCAGGGCGTACTGCCCAGTCTGCTGGCCATAGCTCCCACCCTCATTCCCCACTTTCCCAGTGCACATCATGTCACATGCTCGCCTGCCCTGCTGGACCCCGAGTTGAGGTTGGTCCTTCTCAGAGCATTTTTCAAGCTTTGTCTCATCAAATCCTACCACTACATTAACATCACCTTTAGATGTCTTTTCCCAAAGTCATCCATGAAATACTTGTATTATGTACAAAATGAAATGCTCTTTCACTGCTCTGATATTTTTTTAACTTTTTTTTTATTTTTTATTTTTTATTTTTTATTTTTCAAAGTTTTATTGGTAAACAGATAGCAATGAGACAGTTTCAAATCAAATCAGAAGTACAGTTTCAACAAATAATACACTGCATATATTCTTCTTAGTGGTTAATTGCTGTACAAGATGCGGACTTGTGATCCTATTTACAAACACCATTAGAACAAATCATTCTACTCATTAAGAGAATGCAACTATGTATCCATCCTAACCACTTTGAATACACAGATACAAAATGGACATTCATCTGTATGCCCCATTTTTTCTAAGTTCCGTTATTGAATATTATAGGTGTGTAAACTCAGCAAAATATTCTAAAAGAGTCCAGTAGCCCATAATAGCATTGGGTCTTCTGTTTAACTGGCAATGTCAGAAATTATTGACCTGAGTCCCCCACAGCTCAACTTAACAGCATGGCTTTATTTCTTATGATTCAACTTCATACTTTTCTACTGGATGGTTAAGACCAAGGTAAAGCAGGACCTGTGCAACAAGAGTTGTAGCTTTTTGGTCTGAGATTTTTTTAACTTTTAATTTTTAAATGATTATCGATTCAGAGAGAATTGCAAATGAATGTTTTTTCCAGTGGTAACATCTAGCATGTTATCAAAATCAGGAAATTGACACTGGGACAAGATACAAAACTTACTTAGACTTCACCAGTTATATATGCCTACGTGAGTAGCTCTGAGCAATTGTATCACTTGAGTTGATTTATTTAACCATCACAGTTAAAATGTAGAACTATTCCATCAAACACAGACTCCGTGTATTTCTTCGGGAAACAGAATTAAAACCAATATCTACTTCCAACATAAGAAAATCTTCCCACAAAGATAGAAGATAAAGAAAACAATTTTATTATTTAATGAGCATGCAATCAGAATGTGCTTTGTATGGCAGGCAGCCTGCTGAGAGATTGATAAGACAGAGAGAGCTCTTCCCCCTTTCTGTAGCCCACCAGATTCTGGCCATCACATACATGTTCTCAGAAACAATGACCAGTTCTCAAGCAAGGGTACTGGACTGCACCACTTGTCTCATGTAGTTTATCCTAAATTCACATAACAATTACGGTGATCCTCTGAGTTAGTTAATTGGCTTTATCTTGAGAAAATACAAGCTTTTTTATCTAAACCTCGTGTTTAGGTTCCTGTTCTCCCACAAAAACTGGGAAATAGGGGGTCCATCTTCCTCCATGATTGCTTTGCGAGGAGGTAACTCCCAGGTCAGAGTCACTGAGAAAGACATTTCAGGGCCTTTAGAAAGATGTATATACATTTCCATGAGATAGAAATGTTACATTTTCTGAAAATTACTTTTCTAAGGTAAATGTCCTAAGAAAAAAATGAGAAAGGTCTTTCCTAATTTTCAACAAGGATTACTCCTTTTCATTTGTGTCTGTTACATGCTGCGTCTTTGTTGCACCATCCATTATTCTGTGCTCATCCTTTACCTCTAGAGACCACTAATCTATTCTTCAACACTATGCTTTTGTTATTTTAAAAATGTCATAGAAATGAAATAGGATAGTAGGTCACCTTTGGAGATTGGCTTCTTTTTGATCAGCATAACGCTCTTGAGACCGACCCAAGTGGATTGTACACGACAGTGCCTTCCTTTGCTGTTGCTGAATAGGAAGTATTCTACACTCCCCACCCTCATGAACATGTTAATATACCAAATATACTGTACATCTGTTTAGCTACTGAAACAGTTAGAGGCTCTAAATCCATTATAAATATCTAAGTTTTTTTTTTTTTTTAATTCCCTACCAGAACCATTTATGACCACTGAGTTGTAATATTTTCCCACCAGGAACTCATGTTCTAGAACAAAGTGCTGAATTGCTCTTCTCTCTTTCTCCAGTTAAGTGCTTATCTCCAGATGGAAGTAGACCAACTTATAGTTCAAGCCTATGCTCTCAAACATCAGAAAATAATCACCCCCAATCCCGCAGAGAGCACCTGTTTCAGCCGCTGGAATCGCTGCAGACTAGCCAAGTGAGCACTCTTCCGTGTTGCCTTTGTTTCAGGGTGTCCCCTGAGCTAACACTCAATCACTTAGGAATGAGACCCACAGATCTGAGTTATCTGCCATCGCCTAACATCAAGCCAGCCAGGCAGGTTTCTGCCTCTTGAAGTCAGAAGACTCCCATTGTATCTAATGGTCAGGTCCTGACTCAGGTCCATGAGGGCCCACACTGTATTCTGATACAATGGCTAAGACAGACCTGTGGGCTTCTGAGGAAGGTCTGCTGTTTCTCATCTCTGTCATAGTGACCTTTGGTTGTTCTGCAGTCTAGAGAACAAAATTGTGCGCAGGCAGTGGGAAAGAACCTCGCTCTCTCTTGCTTTGGGAAAGGTAGCCCTCTGGGCTTGAACGTCATGAGTAAGGAGCCCCTGCTCACTGTTTCAGAGTCCAGCTGCCAGAGTATATCCTGGACTTTGGATACATTGTCCTTGGAGACGTGCTAACCCACATCATCAAGATCACCAACACCAGTCACTTTCCGGTGTCCTTCCATGCAGAGAGGCGTGTCCTTCATGACACAGGTAACCAGGCGGGGGAAACTCTTTCCTACTGTACTTTGTCATCTCCAACAAGGAAGACACCCATTGTCCCATCCTTCTAGAGCTGGGAGTGGGTCTGGCTATTCAGTAGCTCTTAGGGCAGTTCCTGTTTGCTGCTCCCTTTTTCACAAAGAAATGTTTTTTGCCTTGGTCCAGGCTTCAGTACGGAGCTAGACCGTGTAAAGAATCTGCCTTACTGCGAAACAGAGACATTTGAAGTGAGATTTGATCCACAAGGGGCTAATCTTCCTGTGGGAAACAAAGAAATCCTACTTCCCATCAAGGTAAGATGCTCTACCACTCCCACCTAGCCCTCCAGGTCTGCAGCTCTGCTGGCCAATCACACCTGAAATGACCCCACAGATCATTTAAATAATAATGATCTTATAATAATAATAATAATCATAATCATATTTCATCAGAGCCATGATCTCCCCAACCCTGTGCCGCATGATAACAGCCATTTTATGTCCACTCCAGGTGGTTGGAGGCCCAACGGTTCACATCTGTCTCCGAGCTAAGGTGATTGTCCCTGCTATGACACTGTCTTGTAGAAAAGTGGAATTTGCTGCAATTCAGTGTGGACAGTGCATGGTGGAAACAATTCAGCTTTCCAATCACCTCCAAGTCCCTTGTGAATGGTTTGTCCTCAATCCCACGCCTATTAACAAGGTAAATAAATTGTTACCTACTCATCTTCTTTTCAGCCATTCCTCTGGTTCCCACTCAAGGAATTGCAGTGGTAACCATTGTTCTTAGCCCAGCATAAAAGACTCTGCCAGACCACACTGCTGGGTAGAATGTTTTAGTCACTTTTGTACCTCTAGTATCTACACATTCCCTGACACCTGAGAGATGTTCAAGAAATGTAGGTTCTGTGTGTGAAGAATGAGATGAATCTATTCTCTGACATTGATAACCTAACTGTCTGAAATTTATAAACCAGCTGGAGAAACACATGCCAAAGTACTTAAGACAGAAATTCTATGCTGAATTAAAGCCAAAGTCTCGTATCTTTGAGATCCAGCCCACGTCTGGAATCTTGGATCCTGATGAGATAACCAATGTGCAAGTGAAATTCATGCCAGAAGAAGAGGTGAGCTTGAAAGAAATGTGGCTCTGTGGACGTTCTGTGGATCCCTTTAAGCTCTACCCAATCCGCGCTAGCTTGAGTCTTGAGAGAATCTTTGTGTGTCCTGTGAGGGGGTTTCCAGTGTGATTCCAGTGCATGTAGGTGCTGTGTGCCCAGGTGGGTGAGAATCAGCACATCTCACTAACACATCAAGTTTGATCAGCAGCCATGGGTTAGTGGCCTTCTGCCTCTGCACTTACAGGCTGCACGTCTGAGCAAATTACTCAACCTCCCTAAGCCTCAGTCTGCCCGTAGATAAAATAAAAAGTAATAATATTACACATCAAAAATCCCTTATTGCACTTGTGAAATCCAATAAGCTCCCTTAAGCAGTGGGGAGGGATTTCATAAATTTTAAATCAAAACTTACTTGGCAGAAAAATCTTATCTGAACTGACAGAAGACTATTTTGCCTTTACTTATTCTACTTACTTTTCAGAGTTGAGCATTGCAACTGCAGAAATATTAATGTGTTTGATTACAGAAGGCCTTCCTGAGACTCCATAGGGGGTATCAGGTAACATAAAGCATATGCATAGTGTTTGTCTTTTTTTTTTTTTAATCTCAATTTGAAAGCCTCTGGCCCCTGTGGTTTCAGATAAATTGTTGTTGACCTACAACAGCTACCTCTGGATCATTTTGAAGATGAATAACATTGAATAAAATACACAGCATGCTGCTCTATGTACAGCAAGTGTCTCAGTATCTATTAATTCTTACCTTCAGGAGTCATGCTACTAAGAACTTCCTGGTGGACTGTCACCCTGAGCCTCATAAACATCTCTTTTTATAAACACTATGAGCACAAAGCTACCCCTGACCAACAATACAGAAAAAGTAATAAAATCCTAGGAACAGGAGGATCTCGGGAAGTTAAACAGTAAAGAATTGTCTTCAAAGCCTAATCCTTGAGAGATATTTTCCTTTGTTCTATTCTTTGAAAAGAAAAATCCATGTGAAATTTGTTGAGTAGCTATGGTGAACACCCATTTTCCTGATCATGTCTTTGAGGAAATACTTCAGAATCCTCAGTGTGAAAAATGTGAAATGAAAAAATGTAAAATGTGAATGACTTCTTACCTCATTGTACAAAAAAAGCCCATGTTCCCATGATTACCAGAATCACCCAACCCTTTTATAAGAAAATCAATAATACATTTGTCATTCCTAAAAAGTCTTGAAACTACAAAAGGGTATAATCAAAAGTTTGGATTTTCTTCCCATTACTAAATGAGGGAAACATCAGCAAATGTAGCCCCCAACATTTATTTGTTCAGATAGTTCCACAAATCTTGAATTGCAATTGGTTTAAGTCAGTAAAAGATTTCCATCAATCGGGAGAAAATACTGGCTATGCATAAGGAATGGGTTGGCCCTGAAACCAACACAACTGGCACATGTATCTTCATCAACATCAGCAACACAAAAATATCACCAGTTTTCACACTAGTGACTCCTAGACATTAGGACATCCATGTGAGTACTCCAGGTTGGAAAACAAGATTTTCATAAATAGCAAGCAACAATATAGGACTTTGGGGTCTTAAGGTGCTAGACTCATAACTACAATCTGTCAGCTGGTAATTCATTCTCATATTATCTCCAGCAATAGGTATTTCTCTGTATATGTAGTCATGTCCATACACAAGGGAGCCATCTGATTTTTTCCCCTAAACTAAGGCAGTTTAGGAGCTTTTCAAAATGGAAAAATTCTCAAGCTCCCAAACTCGATCTATGTTATATCAGAATGACCTGAGCATTTGGTTTAAGATGAAGAAAGCTAGCCTTGCTCTGCCTCTGGGGTAGTCACATTTTCTGGGAATAGGGCCTGTGACCTGCTCTTTAGTGGATCCCCTAGTGAAATCAGATTAAGAACCACCAAGTGGGAAGAAGATTTCTGTATCATGTTGGGGAGCTATGTGAAAGTTATAAATCCTACCTCCTAGCGTCGGATTGTATCAGAGGGACTGAATGCCCCAGCTCTGCATTCTGCCAGATGTGGGGTGAAAATATAAATGTGCTCACTTCAGAATCAACCTCTCCCAGTGAGCAAGAGAACTAAGATATTTATTACAGACTCCCATGAGTTATTGGTAGCAGAAAGCATTAACTTCCTCGGCACTTCTGTACCCACGGGCAACACGGGTCATGAGACAGGAGGTACAGATAGTAACAGAAGTCTGAGCACACAAGAAGCTCAAAGACACATGAGAATGACACTCAGAGGGCCTCTGCAAATGATGAAGCTCTTGATACAGTGCTATATACCCGCCATCTACATAGCCAGGGGGAGCAATTGCTCACATCCTGTTTTATAAGAAAAGTCTTTATTCTCCCTTACATAAATAGGATGAGCTTTTCTTCTTACTGATTTTCAGTTTTCCTTGACATATAACAAGAACAAGTGCAAATGCTTGTTTTGTTTTCATGTTTTCCAGAAATTCTACAACCAAACCCTGATGTTCCAGATTGCCCAGAGCCCTCAAAAGCTCACACTGCTAGCGCATGGGCAAGGCCTGGAGCCGCGCCTAGAATTTAGTCCTTTGCTTCTGGAACTGGGACCACTGCTGCCTCTTGCCGCTGGCGATGAGGCCGAGGTGATAGTGAAGAACCCCTGCAACTTTCCGATTGAGTTTTATTCCGTAGAATTTGACCAGCAATATCTCCTAGAAGAGAAGGTGAGTGGAAGTCAAAACCAAACTCCCTTTCCCCTCTCTTGCTGGACCCTGCCATGCTTTTTTTTTTTTTTTTTTTAAGATATTTGGTACAGGGTCTACAGGGTCTCACTACACAGATTGGACTCATAGTGCTCCTCCTTTCTTCAGCCTCCCAAGCTCTGGGATTACAGGTGTGCACCACCATGCCCAGTCTGCTGCCATGTTCTTGTGTTCTTTTGTTTGCATGGAACCAGTTCCTCCTGGCCTTTTCCCCTCGAGCCCTTCTTTGTCATGTTCTTAATCACTCCTCTGTAGACTTTCCTGACCTACTTCTCTTGCCCAGAGCAGAGTTCATTGTCTTTTTATGGTTGCAGCAGATATTTTAAACAACAAAGGGACAAGCAAAAGCATGTTCATGATTAAAATTCAGAACGTGAAGATTCACATGCGGCAACATGCCTAGAGCATGTTTGAAGTGAGTTTCTTGCAGACAGCCTATAATTGGCAAATTTTTAAAAATATATTCTAGCCATCTCTGTCCTTAGTTGGTATATTTTAGATCATTCACATTTAATGTGAGCATTAATTGATATATTAGGGCTTAAGTCTGTTGTTTTATTGTTTTATCTGCTGCCCACTTACTTTTTCCTGCCTTCCTCTTAGTTGCTTCAGCATTATTTGGAATTTCATTTTCTTAGAATGTTTTTGAGTGTCTATCTTTGCATAGCTTCTTTAGTTACAGCTGTACACATTGCATTACACATATATATAATTTATAACCAACCAGTCTAAATGTATACAAGCGGTCTAAATTTATGCTAGAATTGTTTCCTCCCTTTACTTCCCTTTATTGTCCTCATTTTTAGTAGAATTGTCTTAATATTTCCTTATATCAGAGAGTACTATAGTTCTTTCAATGGTGAAACATAAGTTCCTTTCTTTCTGATATTCCAAGCTTCCTTCTTTTATTGTTTTCTTTCTATTTTGAGAGCCATATTTAGCTGCTCTTTTAAGGTAGATCCATTAGTGAAAAGGTCTTAGTTTTAATTCATCTAAGAATGTGTTGAGGCTGGCCAGATAGCTCAGCAGATTAAAGTGGACACAGGGGTTGGAGATTCGACCCAGGCATGCTATGCCAGCCCTGCCCCCAGGGTGTGCTGAGACAGCGACTGAGACTGGGCATGGTGGCACTTGCCTGTAATCCCAACACTTGGGAAGCTGAAAACAGGAGAAGCACTACAAGTCCAGTCTGAGTAGTGAGACCCTGTAGACCTTGAACTAAAATACAAAAAAAAAAAAAAAATGTGTTAGTTGAAGTATTTATTATTAGCTAAATACAGAATTCTAGACCAATTCTTCCAACCCTTAAGGTATATGTCACTTTTTCTGGCCTCCATGTCATTTGAATTGTCTCTTATTTCTAAAGTTTCATTTCTCTGTCACTACCTTCAAGAATTTTTCTTTGTCTTAATTTACAGAAATTCCACTATCTTGTATTATAGTATGTATTTCTTACAACTTATTCAGTTTACAACTTGCTCAGTTTCTTAAGTCTATAGAATTTTTTTTTCTCTTGTTCAGTCTTAAAAAGATGCGGCCATTATTTACTTAAGAAATTTTAATATAGTTGCATTCTCTTAATGAATAGAATGATTTGTTCTAATGGTGTTTGTAAGTAGGATCACAGGTCTGCATCTTGTACAGCAATTAACCACTGGGAAGAATGTATGCAGTGTATTATTGAAAAAAAAATAACATTTTTGGTCTACAAGCTTTGAAATACTACATAAATATAACATATGTATGTGATAGTACAAATCTGATGATGTCTGCCTATACTTGTACAGAAATTGTGTACCTAAACCCATGCAAATTTTCCTATGAAGAATTTTGTTATCAAAAATAAAAAATAAAAATAAAAGAAAAAAAAAGAAATTTTAGCCTCAAACTCTCTCTATTCTCCTTCCAAGACTCCTGTGGTAACTTAGGGTTAGAATTTCTGTCATAGTCTCACAGTGGAAGATTGGTTTGATTGTTTACAGGGTGCTTGGCTCACATTTCTGTCGTCTGATTTTTTCCTTTGTTTGTTTTAGAGACAGGATCTCACTATGCAGTTCAGACAGGCCTAGAACTCACTTTGTAGTCCAGGCAGGCCTCAAACTCACAGTGATCCCCATGCCTCCAACTCTTGAGTACTAGGATTACACGCATCCCCCACCATGCTCGGCTCTTAAATATCTTACATGTGCTGCTCCATTGTTTCCTCTTCCTGAGATGTGAAATGCCCAGGCAGACCTGAAACAAAATAAAGATCACGAACCCCTACATGTTCAGGGCCCAGTCTTATTCTTTAGACCTCTCCAGTGAAAACCAGAAAGTATTTCTATGAACCTCACCCTAAGGTAGGAGCAGGGATTTTGCAAGAATTATGAGCAAAAAAGAAAACTCACAATGAGACCAGTAGCAGCTCCTGTTCTCCCCTTGAACAGATCTTGCGACAGCTGAAGGGCTATGACTCCTATAATACCCTGCTGCTGCCACCTCGCAACCCAGGGGAGAAGCTGACCCTGCAATTGTATGAGTACTTTAAAGAAGTGAAGAAGTCTAAAGAAGAACAGCTGAAGGCAAAATATATGGAGAATCTGGATAATGGTGAGAACCCTTGGCTCCAGCCACTGCCCTGTCCCCTGTGAGTCACCTCTGCTGGGCGAGCTACCATTTACAGACACCTACAAGGCACCAAGGGCCTCACACATTTTATGTCTAACCCTTACATAATGGATCCTATCATCCTCATGTTGTGGATGCAGAGGCTGGAACATAATCTGTTGTCTCCAGAGTCCAGTGGGCGCCGAGATTTAAAAACAACTAACAGATAGAAGAAGACTCACTAGATATGGTTCAGACGGCTCTGCACCTACAAATGAGAAACACGCACAGAAAACAGGTCCACAGTTTTGGTTTTTTGTTTTTGTTTTCTGTATTTTAGGAAAGGGTCTACAAGGTATTCAGGGTCTCACTACTAGATCTAACTCGTAGTGAGTCACCTATTTACCGCCTCCCAAGAGCTGGGATTACAGGCATGTGCCACCATGCTCAGTCTCAGTTGCTGTCTCGGTGTGCCCTGGGGCAGGTCTGGCACAGCAGGCCCAGGGATTGAACCCCCGGCTCCTGCACCTGCTTGCAGGTGCTTTAACCCACTGAGCTGTTTGGCCAGCCCAGGTCCACAGTTTTAAGTGATAAAAACAAGTCCAGCCCAAATCTCCCTGACTCAAGAGTCCTTAACTGACAGCAACCACTGTACTGTACTGCCTGGTGAGGTGTGTCTGGCTTCATTCCAAGTGGGAATCTGCTCTAACAGAAAGAAGAGGTGGAAGCTCACATGAGAAAAAAGCTCCATGGTCCTCAAGGCCAGTTGCAGAGCCAGCCCACACTCTCATAATCTTGTCCCTTCTGGACCAGCACCCTGCATCATCCTATCACCTGCCCAGGGCTTCTCTTGTATACTTAGCAGAAACACCACTTTGGGGCTTGTAGGACTGTGCAGCTGATGTTGTTGGGCCCCTCTTCCTGCTTCTCTGTCCTTTCACCTGGAAATGTCCCTGTCCCGGCCTGACTCGCTCTCTTCCATGTAGAGGTCATCACCCATGTAATTGTTTTCTCCATGCCTGCCCCTCACCACTAAGCAGGAAACCCTCCTGAAGGCAGAAAACACATATTCCTGCCGTCTAAATCCAGTGTGTGAAACAGCAAGCCACACCTGACAGTGGTGCTAGTGGTGCCAGCAGCCTGACCAATGGTGTCTTGTGAGGGAGTGAACCAATGGAACCCTCTCCCCTGCCCTTTGTCTGACTCATGGCCTCTCAAGGCAAGAGACATGGCAGAGAGCATTCACTTGGCAGAAAAGAAGGCTGCCTCCCTAACAGTCTCATCAGCTTTGTTGGGCATGGTGTTAGTTTGCCATAACAAATACCACAGACGAGGTAGCTCCACCAAAAGAGATGCATTTTCTCATAACTCTAGAGCTAGAAGTCCAAAATCAAGGGATCAGTAGAGGAGATTTCTTCTGAAAGCCTTGTCCTGTGGATGGTCCCCTCTTCCTACCTTTATATCACCTTGTTCAAAAGAGAGCTATGACCCCCTCAGGCTCAAATAGAATTCTCAACAAAGAATGTTGAGGGGTCTCTCAAGGTTGAGGGGTCACCATGTGCTGCCTGAGCCCATTGCCTCTCCCTGCTCCAGACACAGTAGAACAAGGGACAATAAGGAGGGTGCTGGGCTGACACTAGCAGTTATGCTTCACAATGATGTGGAAAATGTTGATGAGAAGATGGGGGAAGCAGGCTGCAGACATAGGTCCACTGCCATCCTGGATGGGGTTCTGAAAATTTAAAAGCTAAAAATCTGAGCCATGCTACTCTCCTGTCTTGGTATAAAACTCACCTGCAATCCTTTCACTGTCTCTTTGTCTATCCCAATCTCTTCTTATAGAGCTGAAGAGGCTATTCTGAATTTTCTAAATTTCTGATCCAATATGTAATTTTGTTGTGTAAACAAATGTTAAGGGGGCCAGGGAGATGGCTCAATGGAATAAGTGCTTCCCTGGCAAGTGCAAGTGCCTGAGTTCAATGCCTGGTTCCGCGAAAAAAAACAAATGTTGGGGCCGGGGAGATGGCTCAGTGGATTAAGCACTTCCCTGGCAAGCGCAAGGCGCAAGGGCCTGAGTTCAATCCCTGGTTCCACCAAAAAAAAAAAAAAAATGTTAAAATGTAGAAGCATTTTCTTAATTTTATTAGTACATAAATGGATAATGGACAGGCATCACCAACTTGATTGAGAAAAGTTTTCTGAACAGTCTACTGCTGCAGTTCTCATTTCATGGGACCGGGCAGTCGAGGGTGAGAGCAGTCAGTAAAGTGATCCCTTCTTTCGCTGTCTCTCTTCATGGCTCCCACCTCCCTACTGCCTTCCCACCTCCTCCCTGTGTTTCCACCCTTCTCTCGCTGGCAGATTCAGAGGACCTGAACACCTCGGGGGCCTCCACTAGCACAAAGAGGACATCAGTCAGCCAAGGGATCTCCGTCACATCCTACTTTGAAGAACGACACAACTTTTTGACAGACTCCAAAGCCTATACAGATGAAGACGAGGATGAGGACAGCCTGGAAAAATTAATCTTTCAGAGTGAGCATTTTGATGTATAGGAATCAGTTCTAAGTAGAAATGGAGACTGTTCAGTATCAGTCACCTTTCTCCATAAAGTGTCCCCTCTGAATCTCCCAGTCCTATGCCCTTGGGAGAAGCCGTCATCCACCTCTCAGGAGATACCTGCAGCATAGGTGACTGCAGGGCAGCCTACCCCATGGCTTATTCTTCTTGCCACCGCAATTTGCATTTTAAATAGATAAGGTGTTCATTTGAAAGTCTGAACCGTTTATGTTAAAATTCCAGCAGACAAAGCAGCCTTCTGGGAAATTAGAGGGCCTTCTTAAGGATTCCCTCCAGTGGGACCATTAAGGAGCCCTCCTCTCCACCTCCCAGCCTTGTGGTCCTGTTTCCTGGCATTCATTTTTCCCAAGAGATACAAAATGATAAAATCATATTTAGAAAACTAGATTCAGCAAAGCTGAATGTGTGGGGCTATATGTTTGCCAGTCATTATAAACCATGAAAAAAAACATAATCCAACTTGTCATATGCTATGACAATCCAGCTTGTCATCCGCTCAAGGAATAGGGCTCATGGGCAAGACTAATAAGGTCTTTGAAGAGTTTACGTCAATCAGCATTCTTAGCCCTCATCAGATTTTCCAGGTGAATAAATTAAAGCAGGAGAATGCAGTGGTCCCTCATGTTCAATCCAACCTAACTCTGTTGTCCTGCCTCTAAGTGGCTTTGGCCTCCCATGCAGCCTTTCCCCAGACCACCCTTCCTGGCCCTGGCCCCTCCACCTCTGCATCCGGGCTCTCCACATTCACTGCTGTGCTTTGGATATAACATCTGGAAACCATAGAAATGTTTATCAGCAGGGGACTAATTACCTTACAAATCTGTACAATGGAATTTATTTGGCAGTTGTTTGAAAAGAGAGGTAGGTCTGTCTTTAACTCAATGAAAAGATGTCCGATATGTATTATGTAAAAAATCAAGCTGCAAAACACAGTTTAGAGTATGAACCTCATTTTGTTATCACCTAGTTGCCCAGACTTAAAATAAAATATTTATAAAGGCTAGGGATCTAGCTCAGTGTGAAAGCCCTAAGTTCATTCTCCAGTACCAGAATAGGGGGGGAAAAAAACCCTTTTATATTCAAAAACAAGGAGCAGGACAGGTTTGGCCTGCAGCTCTAGTTTACCAGCCTCTGCTACCTAGATCATTATTTCATTACTAGATTAGTACAGTCTATAGAATTAATACTTACTGTATGCATTGGCCTTCTTCCCTTAATGTTATTAATTCAGCTAACTACAAACAGTTCTCTTCTTTATAGAAATGCCCTTTTGATTTTCAGCAGGAAAGATTCCCAAAAATAGAATTCAAATCAGACTATTTGCATCTTTAAATTTTAATGACTAGGGACAAATTATTAGCCAAAAAGGACATTGTCAGATAGTACAGGTGGAGGCTGCTTTTATGTTTGCCATTGTAAAACACCCATCTTTAAAAAGAAGAATTCGTTCCCATTTCCCTCAGTACCCATGTGAATCCTGGGGGCACACTCATGCATGCATGAGTGTGCACACATGTGGTTTTGGGGTTTTTTGTTTTGTTGTTGTTGTTGTTGTTTTTGTTGTTTTTGTGGAACCAGGGTTTGAACTCAGGCCCTTGTGCTTGCCAGGGAAGCATTTATTCCACTGAGCCATCTCCCTGGCCCCACATGTGTATTTTAAAATTTTTTTTTTAATGTATGTATTTTTAAGTTGCACCTAACAAGATTCAGCGAAGCCAGAGCCACTCTGTAGAGGAAGTTGGAGAGGTGGAAAGCAACCCAGTGAGCAAGGAAATCGCTCGCCACCTAGGCATTGACATTTCTGCAAAAGGCCGCATGGCCAAGAGCCGGAAAGGCATCGCCATTATCATCCATGGGACACCCTTGTCAGGTATGTGACCATTCTGAGCAGAGGTCAAGACCAAGAATGCCACATGTGTCTTCCATAAACCCTCTGGCCTTCAGAGTAGCAGTATCAGCCAGATAGTCAGAATAGTAACTTTTATTTGAGGAACAACAGAGCACAGTGATGAGGAGCCTGAACCAAGGAGGCCTTTATCAGAGCCTACCATTGCCGTGTAGAGCTGTGCACCTCTGGGGAGTTACTGAAGTGCTCTGTGCTCAGTGTGTTGTCTATAACATGGCATTAACAGTATTACCTCTTTGCAGGGTAATTGTAAGAAGTGAGTGACAATGTTTGTATAAGATGCTTATCCCGGGGGCTGAGGGTATAGCCCAGCGGCACAAGCACCTACCTGGCAAGCGCAAGGTTCTGAGTTCAGTTCCCAGTACCAAAAACACAACAAACAAGAAAATGTTTATCCCATACTTGACATGTAATAGTCAGAGTTGATGATCTTATCATTATTATTGCTATTATTGCTATCAATAATCATTATTAAATGATTATTGTCATCTAATTTTAGCCATATCTAGACTTTGCCTAACACTGTAATCATACACTAAATAGTCCCAAGAACATTTTGCCATTCATAAACCAGTCAAGAGTGAACCACTTTTTAATAAACATCCTTTATTGCCCCCATAATGACATGGGCCAATTTCACCATAAACCTAAAGGAGCAAGGTCACCCACATTGAGCAAGATCTTAAACTTGAGTAGTGATTTCCATTTATACAGCTCTCTCCCACTCATTTCTTTCCTCTGCTTAAACTTCCCAACCACTCAGAGAAGAGAGTTTGATTGCCTCTACTCCATAAGCTGTTAAAGTTCAGCGAAACTATAGTGTATCTGCCTCCAGAGCACCCTGCTAGTGAATGGCAGAAAGAGGGACCTTGGAAACATCCCTGGAACCACTCTCAGCATCAGCGTCCTTGAAAAAAGGCAGAGACCATTTCCAGCCCAAATATTATCACTCAGACAACACATGTGAAACAGTTTCTATGTTCTCATCACTGAGAGGCTCCGAGAGTCTTTGCAAAAGTGACACCACCTTACCTCTTCTTTGAAGAACCTTTCCTTGGGAAGCCATAAATCAGAGCCTAACAGCTCTAAGGCAGGCTGTAGGAGCAGCAGGTGCAACTAAGACAAAGCAATTAAGAACATAATCAAACATCTTATGAAAATCCCCACTTGAGTCCAAAGCAATTCGTGACTATTTTTGGAGAAATAAAAGAAGGGTTGGAGGGATGGTTTATGGGCCAATGGAAATTTAAGACAGCTAGAGAGTAATCCTGAAAATGCGTCCTGAACAGAAGAACAAAGCTACTAGTTCCATTTTAGGGGAGGGGCTACTTGTACTTTCATCCAGGGATAACAACTTTTATACAGTGGAGGGTTAGCTGCAGCATTAACAATCCTGCCCTTTTTATGGAGCCTTGGAGTTTTCCATGAATCAATCATTTAATAATTAACAGTCTCAGATTGTTGATTGTTGGGAATTTTTCCCTGTTTGGGCTTATGGGGAAGTTACCCTGTAATTTTTGAAGACAATGAAAAGACTCTTTCACTTAGAATTTATGTACTGAAGGATTATCCCCAAACTGTTGAATTGTTAGCCTCAGAGATATGAAGTTAAGAAAGAGAGAAAAGATTCTTCCTTTTGAATTGATATGTCTCTGAATTATCTGAGCATCTATTCAGTTAATAATTTAAAACATTAAAATATTAAATAAAAATCTAAGACACTAGACTATCTTAAAAGAGAAGGAAGAATATATGTGAATCCTTTGACAGTGTTTCTTTATAAAGCTCCTTAGGACAATGATTAACAATGTGAGCAGATTAACTGCATGAATGTTCACTGAAGCACTGTTCATAACAATACAGACGTGAGAGCAACTGAAGCATGCGCTATGGATAACTGGTTCATAAGCCGTAATACACTCAGGTAGTGAATTGTCAATGAAAACAGGATCTTTGTGCTCATTGATAGCAGCATTCTTCACAGTAGCCAGAAGGCAGAAAATATCCAATAAGCCATTGATGGATGAAAAGATAAACTGCAGAAAAATGGGTTATTCAGCTTTAAAAAGGAATGCAGTTCTGAGACACACTACCCTCTGAACATATCTTAAAATCATATGCTAAGTGAACTAAGACAAACACAGAAGGAAAAATACACGACTCCATTTATATATGAAATGCCAAGAGTGGTCATAGCCATAGCAAAGATGGGTAGAGTGAAGCTGGGCATGGTGGCTCATGCCTGTAATCCCAGCACTCAGGAGACTGGGGCAGGAGGATCATTGCAAGTCCAAGACCAGCCTGGGCTGCAAAGTCAGCTCAAGACCAGCCTGAACTGACTGCATAGCAAGGCCCTGTCTCAAAAAATAAAAGAAAAGGTGGGTAGAGTGGGAATTGCTGGAGAGTAGGAGAAAGGGGAAATGAGGAGTTAGGAATTAATTCATAGAGTTTCAGTTTACAAACATAAAAATGTGTTAGAGATGAACAGCGATGGTTGTGGGGCCCTCAGAGATTGTTAAAATAGTGTTTTACATTATGCATATTTTACCCTAATTTTCTAAAAGTGTCATACAGGTGTATTGTATGAGTAGAAAGTATTTATAATATATCATTTTATGTACATGAAAATGTCACACTTATTTGTAATTTATATTAGTTTGATATTGCTTCTATCACAAACAGCCACAAACATAGTGGCTTAAAGCAAAACAAGTTTATACTCTTACAGTGCTGGAGGTCATAAGTCTAAAATAAGTCATCAGGGCTGGATTCCTTCTAGAGACTCCAGGGCACAATCCATTGTTTGGCTTTTCCAGCTTCTAGAAATGCTGCCCAGTGTCCTGATTCAGAGCTCCTTTTCCTTCAAAACCAAATGTGTAGCATTGTCCCTTCTCTTTCTGCTTCTGTTGCCAAATTGCCTACGCAGGCTGTAGTCCTCCCGATTTCCTTTTCTAAGGACACTTGTTGCTGTGCTGGCCCCGCCCCCAGGGCGCGCTGAGACAGCAGTTGAGACTGGGCATGCCTGTAATCCCAGTGCTCGGGAGGCTATAAACAGGAGAGTCTCTATGAGTCGGACCTACATACTGAGACCCTGTAGGCCCTGTACTAAATACATTTAAAAGAAAAAAAGGACACTTATGACTAGACTGAGCCCACTCAGATAATACAGGATACTCTATATTAAGATCTGTAAATTGATTCCCTCTGCAAAATCTATATTTACCATGCCAGGTAATACATTTGCAAGTTTCAGGAATTAGAACATGGACATCTTTTTCTTTTTTTTTTTTTTTTAATGTATTTAAGACTGGGTCTCACTACACAGATCGGACTCATAGTGATCCTCCTGTTTTCAGCCTCCCAAACGCTGGGATTATAGGCGAGTGCCACCATGCCCAGTCTCAATCGTAGACTCAGCGTGTCCCAGGGACAGGGACACCACACACTGGAGGATGGAACCCAGGCCACTGCGCTCCGCCTAAGCAGGCAGTTTAGTCTGCTGAGCTATCTGGCCAGCCTGGATGTCTTTTTGGGGGGTCTTGGGGGGCTGGTTTTCATAGCTCATAAGTTATTTATATTTCTTTTATAGGAAATATAAATAACTTAGTTATATACACAAATTTGGCAGTCATGGGTTAACTGTGATATCTCCAGATGAGTAAATTATAGATGTTTTGTTTCTTTGCTGCTATCATTTCTGAATTTTCTGCTTTCTCTTTAATGAAAGTACTTCATAATAAGCATAGGTTCTTCTTCAAAGAAGTCTTCCTGTTAGAATCAGAGACAATAGGACCTCCAGGGTACTTTCAAGACTATTTGATAAAATTCTGCTTGAAATCCAGGAGAAGGCCCAGCAAGGATGGGGTGGTGGTGCACAAGTGTATCAGTGGGAGGATTAAGACACGGCCCAGAGCACTGACCTTGGCCTCAGGTCTGCCTTTATGCTGCTGTCACCTCCGGCCACTTAGAGAGATCTGGCAGAGCCCTCAGATCACCTTATAGGGACCTCTGTTCTAGAGACTTCTGTCTAGCACACTGAGCAAGTGAGAGCCGTGAAATTCAATGCCGTGGTCTTTTCTATAGGAAAGACAGTCAACGCGGTGAGCCTAGCCAAGTACTACAATGCCGCCTGCTTGAGCATTGACTCCGTTGTCCTGGAAGCTATCTCTGACAGCAACAGCATCCCGGGGATCCACGCCCGAGAGCTCTGTATCAGGGCCACCATAGAGCAGTCCATGAAGGAAGGAGAGGACTCCAGTAAGTACCCCTCAGACTCCCTGATTTGTTGTTGTCAAGTGGCCAGAGCCCCTGCTGATAATACCCATCTTCTGTGTGCCCTACGGAGCTTTCCTCGCACCACTGGTTGAAGGCTGACTGGCAGCATGCCACCAGCCCAGCCCAGAGAAGAATTCTTTCCACCAAGCATGGGCAGGTCTCCTGCCCTGCCTGATGCAGGTGTGCTCTTGGTACTTCAGAGAACAAGACAGTGAATGACAGGACACTGCACAAGCTGACACCTGGAGGAGAGTGACATGGGCTTACTCAGCACAAAGAAGCAGAGTGTTGCAGCAAAAGTTCCACCTTCTGTGAAGGAGCAAGCTTGGGATGAGTGGGTGCCAACGGGGCCACTTGGGGACACTTTTATACAGATAGGCTTGGAGGAGCAAGAGGATATTAATTCAAAAATAAGAAAAAACATTCCAGATTGAGAAAGCAAGCAAGTTGCTAGTGCTGTGTATCAGGGTAGGAAGGCAAGATGAGCCTAATCATAATTGACCTTATTAGGAATTTGGGTTTTATGGAAAAGAGTCAGTTTTCATACTAGTTTCCCAGCAGTCAGAAGGTCATCCTGGAAAAGTAGCTCTTGTAATCTCTCTCTCTCTCTCTTTCTCTCTTTCTCTCTCTCTCTCTCTCTCTCTCTCTCTCTCTCTCTCTCTCCGTCTTTTTGAGACGGGGTTTCACTATGCAGTTTAGCCTGGTCTTGAGCTCATTTTGTAGCCCAGGCTGGTCTTGAACTCACAATAATCCTCCTGCCTCAGCAGCCTCCCGAGTTCTGGGATTACAGGCATGCACCGCCATGCCCGGCAGGTAATGTCTTGTAAAGGAAGCCACAATAAAGCTGAAGATGGCTGGGTCTGGACCAGCTGGCCCCAAATATACCTACATCACAAAGAATTGAAGGAGTGGCAGGTGTTCAAGATCAAAGAAAGATTTTTTAGCTGCCAAAACTAGGAGGAGAATGGTATCATTTTCCAAGATAGGGAAGGCAGGAGGAAGTTTGTTGCAGAAGAAATGAGCTGGGTTTTGGATCCCCTAGCAGTAAGGCCGGGTGAGGCTGCCCCACCAGAAGTCAAGAAGCCTGGCTCCTCTGGGCATCTGAACGTCTGCAGGGCAGGGAAGCGTCTGCTCGATAGGAAGACACTAACTATGACCTAGAGTGCCTTCTCAGAGCTAGATCGTTTCTATAGAAGAGGGTGCTGTGGACAGGGAAAGGCCAGAGGCTTATGAAAGTTACAGGAGAGATTCCACGGTGGTCAGTGAAGGGCAGGGCTGGAGAGGAGAAGCAGGATCCACAGTGAAGTGGGCAGGCCCCAGGCTGGGCAGGCATTGCCCAGGCAATGCCCAGGCAAGACCACAGGTGGCAAATGCTCATGATGGAGGCAGGCAGAACCTGGAGAGCTTCGGAGGCATGGGGCATCAGTAAGCATGGGAACAGCCAGTACTCTAATTACAGCTGGGGCTGAGGGATTCATCCTCTTTGGTCTCCTACCAGGTGCAGTGCAAGTCTTTGTGACTGTAATCAGCTCCTGGGGGAGGAAGGAGGGAGTGTCCTAAGAACATAAGGCAGAGTAGATTGTTTTTAACAACTCATAAGATAATTCTAAAGGCTTATTTGCTGAAACGGTCAACAGAAGCAATGAGTATCCATGAGTCCCTGCGAAAATGAGAGGCACTGATGCTGCCTAGCACAAAGCCCCATTGCACCATCTTGGAGGACAAAGAACATCTGCTACGCTCCTGTTCTCCTACTGGACAAACATCCTGTCCCAATCCTAGGAGACAGGATGAGGCAGGGCCAGAGTAAGGGGTCCAGTGCTGGGAGACTCAAAGGCTAGAAAGTGGCAGAGGTTCATCATAAAGGCAAAAGGCACTCGAGCAATGACTTTTCCAAACAGCTTTGTGTGTGTGTGTGTGTGTGTGTGTGTGTGTGTGTGTGTGTGTGTGTGTTTTAAGGAAGGGTCTGCAGGGTCTCACTACTAGATCAAACTCATAGTGATCCTCCTGCTTACAGCCTCCCAAGAACTGGGATTATAGGCGTGCGTCACCACACCCAGTCTCAATCACCATCTCAGCATACCCTGGGGGCAGGGCCGGAAGGGCAGGCCCGGGGATTGAACCCCCGGCCCTGGCACCTGCTTTAATCTGCTGCGCTATTTGGCCAGCCCTCAAACAGCTTTTAAACAGATGACATTTTGGAAGGGAGCTTCTCAAGTGAGTGGGGAACTTAAAGGAGAAATTAATCCTGAAGCCATGCTGCCAGCAGTACAAGGCCCTACTTGAATTCATTAACCTCACCATTGCTTAAAACCTCAAAAGGTCAAGTGCTGGATTTCTAAGGCGGGGCCATAGTGTAGCTGCAGTTTCAGAAATTACCTTCTGGGCTGGCAGAGAAAGTGCATGCAGACTGAACTGTGACTTATTGGAAGGATGAGCAGTAAAGATCCCTGGATCCCAGGCTCAGTTCTCCACTGGCCTATCTTCAACCCTTGGTAGGTGGAGTCTGTTTTCCACCCTAGCTCAGTCAGCTGTATATGGGAATGGCACAAGGTTTCAGTGTGCCATAGGCATTGTCATTTTTTTTCTTATCCCAAGGTGACTTTTAATAAAATACTTGCCCTCTCCTTATAGCCCAGGAGGCTTCTGGGGTCCAAAGTGCCACAATACAGTCACGACAAAGCAGTGAGAACTTGGGCAAATTCACCTCGGAAATCACTCTGGTGACCCCAGAAATTAAACCTGGAAAGAGCATTCGGGGGAGTGCGTTGTTCACCAAAAGCAAACCAGAGAGCCACAGTTCTGGGTCACAGAAGCAGCACCACCAGCACCAATCTGAAACACCACAGGTACTAACTGGGGCTCTCCAGAAAGAGGTTGGGATCCTTCCTCCTCCTCGCTGTCCTGGAGCTTCATTTCCAAGGCAGTTCCACCAAGCCAGCCTGATCACTGGCCTGTTCATCAGCTAGCACCTTTTATGTTGCAGGTACTGGGTTGGGTGCAGGTGAAATGACCATAAGGGAAGCAAAGTCCCTGAACACAAGCTGCACTGATGAAAAGTGTGATGAAGCAGATAACCACACTCACAAATAAAACTGCAATAAAGTGAGGCCATCGATAAGTGAGGGACGTAAAAAGAAACAGGTTGAACTATAGGAAACAGTCAGTATTCAATCACTTTAGAACTCCACAGAGCAATTTCTACAATTCAACCTAGTACCAGCACTGGGGATACTGCTCAGCAGTGCAGTGCCTCCAGGCAAGCGCAAGGTCCTGAGTTCGATTCCCAGTACCAAAAAAGATTTTCTGAAGTTCAGCCTAGTACTAAAGGAATATTAAGGATTAAACCATTAATACAAGAAGGAGGAAGACTGCAGAAAGAGTCTTGAAAAGTCCTAGGGAAGTCAGAGTTTTCTTGACATGATGAGGGGCTTAGAGAGCAATCTCAGAAAACTGCAGGTGCCCAGGACAGAGATAGTAGGGTAAGATGAGTAGTGAGTTAAATAGAAAACTGAAGTCAAATGAGGGCAGACTTTTAAGATGTTTGAAAGAAGGGAGGAGTAGCTGTTAGAGAAGCAAACTGAAGATCAAGAGAATCCATTCTTAGAAAGGCAGCAGAGGCACAAGCAGTTCTGTAAGGAAAGGAGCTCCTGGAGGAGCATGAGGTGATGGCCCACCCAGGAGGGAATAAGAGTCCAGCAGAAAGAAGGAAGGATAGGATTAAGCATAATTAAATAAAAAGGGGACTAGCTTTCTCTGGGATTAAGAAAGATAAAAAACAGATACAGCTAAGGGTGAGAGAAGCAAGTTGGAGAATGGAAGTTGGAGAAAATTTTGTTAAAAGGCTCTGTGAATGTGAGGAGGTATGGTCTTTTTAGCAGGAAGTGATAGGGAGGTTGGGGTTGTGCAGCATGCTGGAGGAGAGTGGCAATGCACCAATGGTCTCACTATGGACAGAATGAGAAAATGGTGACGCACAAGGAAAAAAGTCAGTTGTGGAAGGTGATAACCTGACCAGCACTGAAAACTATAACTCTAGAGTTGTGATATTTCTCTTAGTGTCCCTCAGCAGCAGTCTCAGAGGCAGTAAGAAAAGAAGTTTCTGTTAGTTCAGAGAAGGGGTATGGGTGTGGGGATGAAGGTGACATCAGTGTGGGGAGCCCAGCCTAGGTAGAGAAGGAAGTGAGAAGACAAAGTGGGGGAAGCTGGAAGAGTTCAGGGTCCAAGGGCTGTAATAGAGAATGCTGCAGTATTCTCTGGGAGAGAGGGATGTTTCAGAGAGGTTTGCTGGAGTGGATGAATATCAGTGAAGCTCTTGGTAGAAGAAGAAGCCCATGCACTGGGTAGACCAGATGGATGGACAGAGTCATCGGTCTCCACAGGTAAGGAGATCTGAGAATCAGATTGGGAATATGGGTGGTATAAAGTGTTAGGTCCTGATAGGAAAGGAGTCTGAATGTCAGAAAGGGCAAGTGCGTAGAGCAGAGATGAGGGTCATGGAAGAAATCTGCAGGTTGGGTGAAACATTCCGTGGGGATGGATTTGTGCCAGTGGCGTCTCTGCTCTTCACTTCTATTTTACATTCTTTGAACACCTTGAAAAGTAAAACACCACTCACTTCATTTTTCTTTTGGAGGACCATCTTTTTAACCCTCTTCTCCAAGATCTAAAAGGATGTTCATGCAAATGTGAACTAAAATTCACATTTGTGATAAATGGGGTATAACAATGAATCATTTTCTTTGGTTTGGTGCCGTCCATATGGAAGTGAAATACAGAGAATACTTCAAAGGCAAGCCAGGTGTGATGGTGCACACTTGTAGTCCCAGAACTCAGGATGCTGAGACAGGAATTGGGAGTTCAAACCCAGCCTGGGCTACAAAGTCAGCTCAAGGCCAATCTGAATTGCATAGCAAGACCCTGTCTCAAAAAAAAAAAAAAAAGAAAAAGAAAAAACAAACTTCAAAGGTTACAGAAGATCCCAAGTCATACTATAATTCCCATTCAATAAATAGGAAACTCAGAAGTTCAGAGTAGAAATCAGATCTCCCTGACACTGCCACCCCAAGTGGCTCCCTGCACCGCTCCGTTATGACAGGGCTGTTTGGTCTTTTTGAAGCTCTACCACCTGCAATGTTCGTCATGCTGAAATGGGGGAAGTGTGTGTGATGTGCTATTAATGAAGATATGGCCCTGTTATGTAAGGTCTTTCACTTATAAGTCACCTTTTTCCAGGAAACACATTAGAAATCCTCATCTTTTGAATAACATTTAATCCTCTTGCTTCATAGCCTTCTTCCTCCAAAAAATCACTCCACCGACTGCCTGCCCATCCCCATGCTCCTTCCATTATCTTCCTTGAGACTCCAGTGAGATCTTTGTCTCCACCACCCCCTCCTAATCACCTTCCCCACTGCTCACCAAGTTCCAGCCACACTGGGCTCCCAAGAGCACCCCACACTATCCAAGCATACTCATACTGAGGGAACCTGCTGCTTCCTCCCAGAAAAGCCCTCCTCTTTGATCTTGTCTCATTCTGTCACATTACCCCAAATAACACATTGTCACCCTGGCCTGTTATTGAATCCCTAGTCTGTGAGGAAGCACAAGGCATGATGGGTACTCAGTAAATATCTACTGAATGAATGAAGAACATCCTCACTCAAAGCTTCCAGCAGTTCTTTAAGGAAGACAGGAGCTTTCTACTTTACAGTAACAGATGCGGCACCAGGGAGACTTGATTTTCTCGAAGGCATATAGCTCATAGGTGTAAGAGTTGTGAAGACACAAAGCTGGATTCTGATTCCTGGTCCTTCTCCCATTCATCAGGTCTCCAGCCCTCTCCTGGGGCCCACCCCACGCCGGCTCAGTGTCAGCGCCAGCATTGGAGGTGAGGTGGGGCTGACAAGCTGCGTGTTTCCCGAGGAGCTTCTGACACAGATCCTGACCGAGCGGATCCAGGTGTGTCATGTCCACCTGCACAGAACCTCAGGACCTAGAACTCCAACAATGTCATTACCATGAGCTGAAGTTCTGGGCCACACACAGAGCTCAGAACCTAGAGGCCCCAGAGGACTAAAGATGAGTTTTGGTTTTTGGTGAGACAAAGTGCTTGCATTTTCTTCCTTAACAAAGTCTTCCTGAAAACAAGGCTAGCTGAACTATGCATTTGGTAGAGTTGATTTATACTCTGACACAAGATTCTTTGTTTCATCAAAAACCTAAAGTCCTGGCTGGTGGTACCAGAGTCTGGACCACAGTTCAAGTACCACTGCAGTGTAGTGAAGACTGTTCTTCAGGGTTAACATCACTGAAATCATTACACTTCAGGGCAGCAAGGCCACAAAGAAAAGCACCAGCCCTCCACTTGGGCTCTCTGCTGCCTGTTGATCTGTCTGTCCATGGAAACAGACTTGCTTTTCATCCTATCTCCATGCAATTCATGGATCTTCCTAGCCCTTGCCTTCACATTTTGCTTGTCCTTTTGTTCTATAGAGATGAAATGAATCCTGTGCTCTAAGATTTAGCAAGCAGAGGGTAGATTCATGATGCCTTCACCCACTGGGGCCCAGTAGGAGTGCAAAGACCACCGCGGCACCAGTAAAAGGCCCCGCAGAAGTGCCAGCACTCCCTCTGCGAACAACAGCTGGCCTTGAGGCCCTGCTGACCAGCCGTCTTGCTCTCTCTGCTTGCAGCTGAGTGACTGCTGCCGAGGAGTGGTGTTTGATGGCCTCGACACACTCTTCGCACGGAGTGGGCCTGCCGCCCTCCTGTGTCTGCTGAAGGCCATCGGCAGCCGCGAGCACATCTACGTCCTCAACATGGCCCAGGATTACACGACCATGAAGGCCCAAGAGAAGGCCAGAAAGGAGCAGGAAGGCAAGGCCCCCAAACCTTCCCAGGCTGGCCCTCTGGGGCCCTAGCTGGGCTTTCCTTTCCATGTGGCCCTGGGCTTTTCAACCTGGCTCTCAAAGCAGTTTTTATACTTGCTGTCTCAGTAGCACCATGCCTCCAGCCAAGGAGGTGGCCCCCAGAGGTTCGCACTGCTCTTTTACTAAAAGGAGACGGAAACAGAGCAATCATTAGAGGATACGTAGCCAAAGCTGAACCCCACTTCAGAGCAGCTAACACTCTGTCCCCTGCACACCTCTCCCTGATTACAACCAGCCTGAGAACACATGGCGTAATACTTGAAAGATGTAAATTGCGTGGTTTCTTGTCCCTTCCTAGTTACTCTAATGTTATTCTCTAGGCTCAATTTTCATAGCCAATTTCTTATCTGTCTGAGATATTGCATGGGAATAGATAGATCTACCTTTATACATACATGTACCTACACACATAGCAGTTCAATCTTACGCAGTAGTAGAAGCTGCCTATGTAGTCTTGTACGGCTGTTATCTCTATGTTGCTGGAAGTTGAAGCCTGCAAGACAGGCAGCTGGGAAAGGAATATGGGAATAATATGGGGGGAACAAGTTGGAGCCCACCAACAGAACTGGACCCATGGGGACAAATCAGAACCGCTGTCAGTTCTCACCACAGGTGACTCAGTAGTGTGGGTGTGTCCTAGAGAAGAAACTCATACCCTTCGTGGAGCTGAACACACACATGGGGGATGGTAAATTCTACAAAGGACCTCTACATTATCATGTGTGTGCCTAGCACTCTGTGAGACATTTGTACATGTTGGGTCATTGAATCTTCAGAGTAACCATGTGACTATTACTGCACCCACTCTATATATGGGGACAATGAAGGTTATAGACAGCAGAAGGCCTCCTTGGTATTATGACTAACACTTGTAATCTCAGTTCTCTTGAAGATTGGCTGGAAGGATCACAAGTTCAAGTCCAATCTTAGTGAAACTGTCTCAAAATAAAAAAATTCAAATGGGCTGGGGATGTAGTTCAATATGAAGGCCCTGTGTTCAACCCTAGTACAGCAGAGAAAGAGAGGGAGGGAGGGAGGAAGAGGGGGTGGAGGAGAGAGAACATCTTGTCTAGTCACACTGAACATTAGTAACAGTGGCACAGACTTGTGAAAACTTTTCCTGTCATGTAGCCAAGGGCCTAGGAGAGAAAAAACTCAGTAAAGGTTTGACTGAAAAATAGACACACATCCACAGTAAAGTCAGCTTACTGCCCAATTTAGTTAGAAGACCACCCAGAAAGCTTGGCCCTGGAGGGAGGGCTTTGGGCACAGCTGCTGGCAGTGCTGTCCTGCGATGCAGAGCTGCCCCCAGCCCAGCCCCGGCCCCACTACGGCCCTCCTTCCCCCAGTTTACTCTCTGGAGCAGAGGGCTTCTCCAGTTAAGGAAATATTTGCAGACACTGAGCTGTCTTCCTTGTGAAGCTGAACCTGAACTCTCCTCTCTCTAGTCGCATGGACCAGACATCCCTCAGCAGTATCTCATCCTCCAGCTTCTCAGTTCTGGAAAGCTGCTTTTTTCATCATGAACAACTTGAAGGAGCTGGCTGCTTCTCATTTTCTCCGTTACTTTGGGACTAAAGTTTCTCCAGGCTAAATTGTGGGCTCCTCTGAATTTGAAAAAGATTGTAAGCCACCACACAATGACAATCTTACTGCTTTAAATCTAACATTTATTGAACAGTTCTGAGTGTGCTAGGCGCTTGAGTAGCTCACTGAGTACCCACAACCTTAGCAGTGAGGAATTACTGTCCTCATCTGTTATTACCCTTTGCTGCGTGGCAAAGAGAACTCAGACGCAGATCCCTGAGTCCAAAGCTCCCGCCTAGCTTGAGACAGGTATGCTAGCAGCGAGCAACAAAGTGGTCAAAGGTCTTTATTGTCATGTACATGCATCTGAACCCAGAATCCACAGGTGTGGAGTGGACGTCCCCTTGGGCTGCACACACTTGTCGTGCCCTGCACCCTTCATGTCATATGCTAGTCATGGGTAAAGTTGCTCGGTGTCGTGTGAGTTTCCTGTCACTACTGTGACAAATCACCACTGTCTTAATCCATTCAGGCCACTATGAAAACATACCATGGACTGGGAAGCTTATGTGTTATCATTCTGGAGGGGCTGGCCAACAAAATATCTGATGAGGCCACTGTGGTCCTAGAAGGCGACTCCTGCTGAACCCTTACCTGGAGGGAGGGGCAAACAAGCCCCCTTGGGCCTCTTTTGTAAGGACATTGATCCCATTTATGGGGCCCTGCACTCACGACCTAATCAATTTCTAAAAGCGCCACCTCTTGTACTATCCTTTTGGGGATTAGGCTTCCACTTATGAACTTGGGGGCACAGCAGACACAAACTTGGTGACAACATAAACTCATTGCCTTACAGTTCTAGGGCCAAAAGTCCTCACCAAAGTATTAGCAGGGCTGTGGTCCCTCGGAGGCTCCTGTAGGACAGGATCCTTTTCCAGCTTCTGATAGCCACCTATATCCCTTGGCTCATGTTCCTTTCCTTGCAGCCCTGTGACCTCTGCTTCTCCTCTCTCCTGCTGTCATATCACCTTCTCTGACCTTCACTCTCCTGCCTCTTTCTTTTTGAGACAGGGCCTCACTATGCAGTTCAGGCTGGCTTTGAACTCTTTTGTAGCCCAGGTTGGCCTTGAACTCACAAGCAACCCTCCTGGCTCAGCCTCTGAAGTTCTGAGATTACAGGTTTGTGCTACCACACCCGGCTTTCCTGTGTCTTTCTTACAAGGACCCCTGTGATTAGATTGGCCTTACCCAGCTATTCCAGGACAATCTCAAAATCTATCACTTAACCACCCTGCAAAATTCCTTCTGTCATGGGTGGCAAGTTCCGAGAACTAGGGCAAGGCCATCTTTAAGGCCTGCCATTCAGCCAACCACAGGTGGAAACCAAGTTTGAGACTGCAGGAATAAAGGAACACCAACAGGGCTTAGGAATGCCAGCTGCCACCTACCACTCTCACTGCCAAAGACTGTACCAACAGAGCGCAGAGTGCCTGCTGGACCTCACCTCCCCTCCCCCACCACCCCACTCACCCTTGCAGAAAACAAACGCAAGGAAGAACTTGAGAAAGAGAAGATGCGTCTCCAAAACATGGATGAGGAAGAATACGATGCCTTGACAGAGGAGGAGAAAAGCAAGTTCGACCGGGAAGTTCAGCAGGTGCTCTGGGAGAGGAAGAAGAGGTAGGCACCAAGGGCTGGCCTCTGAGAGGAGCTCATGGGGCTACCGGGCAAGCAGGGCACACTCTCAGCTCAAGTCATCTTTGGGAAGCACAACAGTAGCAGACAGCAGAGAGCAAGAAGACCTATCTGGCCCATCAGAGTATTGATTGCTGTAACCTCTCAGGGCGTTGTCCACTCATTTCTCCTTCCTCCTTGCTAGGAGTACTGGGAGACAGCAGGACATTTCTATAATGTCATAGCTGGCCCTGGGTTGTAGTTGGTGGCCTGTGCGCTATCCCTGGCCCCCACTGTCTCCCCTGGCAAGTGTAGCCTGGGTAGAGCTTATCTGCATCTGTGCCTAGGTGTCTGCAGCTGGTGACCCAGAGCCCATCCTCCTGACAGGGTGTGGGGGCTGCTCCCCAGAGCTCAGTAATTTCTCCCACTTCCCATACCATGGTGCTGCCCACCTGCTGAGGTCTGGCTGCCTCTCCTTGGCCTGAACTTTGATGCCCTGTGCAGGCTCACAGCCAGCAAGCTCAGCCACCTTCTCTGCTCCCATCTCCTCCACATGAAACAGCTAGATCTTGCCACACCACCTAGAGCCCAGGAGACTTGGGGCTGCCTGCCCAGGTGTGTCAGAGATTCAGGTGGGCAGCAAGACTCAGGTACTGTCTTCCTTAGATCTTCAGCCATGCTGAAGATGGCTGATTCTACCTACTTCCTAGGCCACTGGGACTGGAGGGTACAGAGCTGAGATACTCACCCACAGTGTGACCTGCTTCACTCCTCTCCCTCTACCTCAAGACTCCTCCTGCTAGCCCTAGTGGAGTTCTGTGTTCCCCTGACCCCTATAGTACACCCTCTACCTTTCTCCTATGTGGCTTATTGTAGAAATGTCCACTCCTCTGAAGGCATGACAAGTCTAGCTGTAGGACTCCAAAGCATACCTTGCCACCCCAGCTTCTGCTTCCACATATTCAAAGTGGACTTAGAACATGCAAATTTCATCCATAGAGCTCAAAAAGTAGTTGAGTCACACAAACACACACACATATATACACACACACCCACCATCAAGGATGATAAATTTGCCTCACTGGGCACCCAGAGAACCACACCTAGGAAGAATTAAAGATTAAAAGATTTCTGCAGATGAAGAAATGGATGAGATAATCCAGAAGTGCTGTCCCCCCTTGTGTGTCCCTGGTCTCCAACTTTGGTGCCCTCTCTGCTACCCACAGCAGGGCAGGCATGGCTGAACACACAGCAAAAAGGGGAAGAAGGGGGGGGGTGTCATGCTTCCAAGCTAGCAAAGCTAAGGTCTGCTATTGAAATACCACTTCATACTGTCCAAACATCAAATGTGATAACGTGGGAGACTGGCCACATCGGTACTATTACTAGAACAATTTGTGAAGGTTGTTTTATCAAAGCTCAAGCTTATTCCCAGCCCTGCCTTGCTCTCCTGCGAGACAACATTGGAATAGAAACACAGACCAATTGGAAATTCCTCCCAGTTGTGTTCAATTAATCAGAGATTTACTGAGTGAACATTTAAAGACAGATGTGGTTTCTTTTTTCTTTCTTTTCCTCCCTTCCTTCTTCACTCCTTCCTATTTACCCAGCTTTTTTTTTTTTTTTTTTTTGTTCATTCTTCCCTTCCAAGAAAGCCCCATTCAGGACCTTCTTCCTGACAGTCCCAGCAGGTGGGCAGGGCCCTGGGCGGGAGGCCTGAACTCTTACCTCTTCTGCATGGTTCCATGAAGGGAGCTGGAGCGCTTGGCCAGAGAGATGCAAGAAAAGAAGCTACAGCAGGAGCTTCTGCGGCAGAAGGAAGATGATGAGCTGAGGAAAAAGATCAAGAAGCCCAAGCAAGGCCCAGTGAAGGAAGAGCCTCCTGCGAAAAAACCACCAACAGGAAGCAAGCCTATGGTAACAACCCTCACCTGCTCCTGTTAAGAACCCACTACCAACCCAGCATGCTGCCCTCCAGGAAGCTGGATACCTGCAGCATTTTCTCCCCCTACCCACCCTGCAAGGGCCAGAGAGGTGAACCCCACCCAGAGCACAGAGAGAAGCTACAGTTACAGATCCCCACCCAGCTGTGTCTGCCAGAGCCCCAGCTCTTTGCTAATGTTAAAGGTTTGCATCCGGGAAGCTACAGAGTCTGTGCAGCCCTTGTGCTCCTCCTTAACAACAATCAAACAAAATGCTACAGCATAAGCCTCCCCTGGTAGACAAAGGCCAGTGGTCTAACAGCCTGAAACTCTCAGCAGACACAGCCAGGCCCATGGTGACACAGGAAAGTCCTTGTGGTGGTGACTGTGGCCAAGGGGTGTGGCTGGCTGGTGTAGGCAGCAGCTGCTTTAGCGCCTGGAGTTTTAAGGGTGAAACTAATACCAGACTTTCAAACAAGGTACAAACCAGTGTAAGACAAGTGACAGCAACAAGCGGGCAAGGGCAGAGCCGGGGAGATAACTCAGTGGCATAAACACCTGCCTGGCAAGTGAAGGTTCAAGTTCGATCCCCAGTACCAAAAAAAAAAAAAAAAAAGACAAGAGCAACCAAATCACAGTCCCCTTCCAAAAGATCTGAGAGTAAGGAACAGGGTCTAATATATGGACCTGGACACTGACTAGGTGCTTGGTGTTTCTATCCCAAAGGAAGCCTGTGGCCTCTGGGGCTGAGAGCAGAGGGGGCACCCAAGGGAGGATCACAAGGACTGATCCCTGCCTCTCCCAGCAGGCTGGTGCTCGTGACGCCAGGAGGGGAATGTGAGCGCCTGTATGAGTCGGCCGTTCTTCTTGCAGCTGACAAAGTCTACCTCTTAGTTAGAAAAAGCTCACAATAATCTATGAAGCATTTATTCTGCTTTCCAATGACTGCATTTCATTCATCATGAGAAGACTTTTGAAACAGAGTTAACCCCAAATTATGCCAACATCATCTTCTGACCCTCCAGAGAAAATGGATTGGAACATTTAGGAGACAGCATGTACATTTCCTGCCTTTTACTCTCATCTCGAGGGACCACAGCTTGCCCCACACACCCCACTAGAGGCCAAGTACCTTTGTGTGTGTGTGCTTGTGTGTGTATGTGTATGTGTTGTTGTTGTTGTTGTTGACCTTGGGCTGCGGAGGAGGGGCCCCTCTTTGTCTCCCATTTGGGAACAAGATTGTAGATCATCCGAGTGCTACACAAAACACCCTGACCTTATCCCTGGAGACCCTTGTGGAACTCAAACAGTATCCCGCTCTGGGAGCACTGTCCCAGCAAAATCTTCTAAGACTAGTTATGTTCTCCAGAGGTGAGAAAAGATCCCCAGGGAAGGAAGGACTGAAGACTCCCCTGCCTCTTCCTCAGAAGGCCATGGGTGCCACCTACCTCTGGCTCGCTGCTTCTGCCTCCCTTCTTGTAGGCCCCTTGCCCCTGAGATGTTCTCCTGTTCAAAATCACCCACCTTTAAAAAGGAAGAGTCTCCTTCACTCTCATGCCCGTGACGAGCAAGCACCCTGTTTTCCTCTTTCTTCATAATTAAAGTTTTTGAAGCATGATCCCCTTGTAAATTCTGCTCAGACACCTCCCACTCACCCTTCCACCTTCTCTACCTGACTTCGGTTCCGTCTTCCCCTCAGAGGCGCTGGCAGCTCCTCCACGTCTAGCTCCAGCACGCCTCGTTCAGTCCTTGGCGCACTTGGCTTTCTTCTCTGTGGGACTCACACTGTTGACTGAACTGTCCTTTAAGCACTTCTTCGTTAGTCATTCACACCAGGCATTTTCTTCTGGTGTGTTGTCTAGCTCACTCTTTGTTTAGCAACAGCTAATCTTTTTTTTTTTTTTTGCTCCTTGAATGCCTTCAGGGCACTTTGGCATGACTGGAGTGTTGTGGGGATCGAACTACTGCAAACTGAGGCTGCCAGCATTGTGGAAGCAGTCACTTAAAGAACTGAGCTAGGGCTGGGCCCCCTAATAAGGAATTTTTTTTTTTTTTTGGCAACAGCTAATCTTAATTAGTTCTTTTTTTTAATTAGTTCTTAATTAGTTCACCTTCAGTTCTTAATTTTGCCATTGTATTAGAAAACCATTGATTCTTTTTTTTTAATCTTTTTTAAAATGTATTTATTTATTTGGTACAGGGTCTCACTATGCAGTTCAGACTCATAGTGATCCTCTTGTCTCAGCCTCCCCAGCGCTGAGATTATAGGCGGGCGCCACCACGCCCAGTTTCAGGGCCTGCGTAGTGCACCCAGGATTCTGGGGATGGCACAACATGTGGTACTGGGGATCAAATTTGGGTCCTTGTGCTTGCCAGGTGGGCACTTACGCCACCAAGCTATCTCCCCAGCTCCTAATTCTTTTTGTTTGCAGTTCTTTTCAAAATTCTCCATCTTCTCTTATAATTCCCTCAATAAATTAAACCTACTTTTTATTAAAGTCGTCTGATAGCACCAATACACAGATACCAGTGTGTGCTCTCTGGTCTGTCTGTTATTCTTGGTTTATAGTTAAACTGTCTCTTCATTTGCCTAGTTGTATTTTCTTGAACAGGAAAAAACTAGAAATAATTCAAGGCTATGAATGATGTTATCTCCCTCAAGAGAGAATTGCTGTTGGAGTCTAACAGGCACCTAAGCTGGGTAGCAAAAGTCTTAATTCAGTCAGTACTGAAGTCATTTAGAACTGAACTTCAGTACCTGGCAGAACTAGGCAGCTCCTGGTTGAGCCTTACCTAACCCAAAGGTCCCTAGGATCTACCAAAGATTTCTTTTCTTTTCTTTCTTTTTTTTTTTTTTTTTTTTTTTTTTTTTTTTTTTTTTCAGAACTGGGTATTGAACTCAGGCCCTTGCACTTGCCAGGGAAGTGCTCATTCCACTGAGCCATCTACCCGGCCCCTACCAAAGATTTCTTTTCCTTGGCTGACCAGGAGGCTAATCTGTGAGCCCCGCCCCTGTTAGTCTATCAGAAGCTTTGTCCAACTTCTCAACCATACTTGCAGCTGCAAATGCCCCTGAAGGAAAAGCAGCCCCCAGTACTGCGCCTTCTTTCTTGCCCTCCTTTCCCAAACCTTAGCCTCATTACTGTCTTCATGGCTTTCCAGTGCCTTCAAACAAACATGTGACTTTTAAAAATTGTGAAGATTTCTTATTTGTGAATACTAACTTGCATGACCTGATTTGTTTTTCTTCTCCAATCAAATTATATGGCAATGTATGTTACATTATTGAATCAATTTAGTTAAGCAGAAAATGCTTTTTTGGATTTTCTTTGAACTTTTTCTTGAAAAAGAATAAGGTTAGTTTCTATATTCTTGGTCATTCATGGTTTTCTTAAAATGTAGCCATGTAGGATATTTTCAAATTTATGAGAATAAAGTAATTCAGGGTCTTATTATCTTTTTGACTTTTTCTATATCTACAATTATTGTCTCCGTATCATCTCACATGTTATTTGTGCCCTTTTCTCATATTTTTCTTGATAAATCTTCCCAGAAGTTTGTCATTTTGTTGCTTTCCAAAGATAAAACATCTCTCTTTGAATTACATATCTCCACTGTTCGTTTTCTATCCAATTAGTCTCTGTTCCTGTCTTTTTGTAATTTGCTCCTTTCTCCTTTATTATTCTTCAGTTCTTGTCCTAACTTACTGTAGTAGACGCTTTTCTTGTTACTGTTCAACCATTTTTATTTTCCAATTTATTAAAAGTTATAAAACATGTAAAGATATATAAACTTCCAAACACTAAATATATCCCTCAGTTGTTGATATTCAGTGTTTTCTTTGCTGTTCAATTCTATGTATTTTTATTCTATGTGTTATCCTTGGTAGGTGCTTCTGTAACCCATGAATCATTTCGAAGTATGTTTTCTGATTTCCAAAGGCATGGGTTCATTAGCTTTGTTCTTTCTGATTTTAGAATATCGTCTTCGCAGAACATGTTCTGTGCCATGTTGAACCTTTGTGGAGGACTCTGTGTGATTTGCTGAGCCCCTCTACATGGCCTCACCTGTGATTGATTTGCATAAATACTCCAGTCCACCTCTTAGGATAATATTATATGTATTTCCTTTCTGCTCCCATTCAACTTCATTAATTATGTTAGCAGATCCTTCCTTATTGTTAGTATTTGTTGCCAGCTCCCGGCTGCACTATGCTGAACTCCAAAAACCTTCCAAGTACACGGCCTGCCTTCCCTGGGTGCCACCTCCTGTGCCCACCCCAGTGTCTGGGCAGTGGGTCTCCAGCCCACAACCAGGCAGTGGGAGCCAAGTCCCTCCCGCCCCAGGAGAGCCAAAGAAGGTGCTAGAGCTCTTCCTCCCTGAAACCGCCCAGCCCGAGCGGCCGTGTTGCTGCCTCTCCAGGCTGCGCTCCAGATGGGGTAGGAGGGCAAGGAAATGAGCAAAAGCCAGCCCGGCCTTCTGTCCTCCTGTCCTCCAAGCCTGCAGCAGGCCTGAGCTTAGAGGGGAGAAGAGCTGCAGCTCCAAGGAGGCACTGGCAGCACTGCGGGTCATGAGCAGAGGACTGCGCTGGACTTGATGTCACCGCAGAATGACCCAAAAAGTAGTGGCGCCTACTGGAGAAATTCATGGAGGGGAGGACAAAACTCAGAGCACACAAACAAGTTTGGAATGGCAGTCCAAAACAGAACAGAGTTGGTTGCTATACACACACTTCATGGAATAAATGCAATTTTTATAGCCTGGCGTGTAGCCAGATTCTAAAATCCCATTTGCTTCCAACAGTACCCGTTACATATAAAAACACTGTGATTTTCGTAACTTCACACCAATAGAACTCCATGGCAAGCATCAGCCTAAGGTTTATATATAGTTACACATTCATTCTTCAACAGTCCTCTAGTGGAGTTATTAATACTAATATTGGTTGGCCAAATAGCTCAGTGGATTAAAGTGCCTGCATGCAGGCGCAGGGGCCAGGGCTTCAATCCCCGGGCCTGCCATGCCAGCCTCACCCCCAGGGTGTGCTGAGACAGCGATTGAGACTAGGCATGGTGGCGCGCGCCTGTAATCCCAGCGCTTGGGAGGCTGTCAACAGGCGGATCACTACAAGTCCAATCTAGTCGTGAGACCCTGAACACCCCGTAGACCCTTCCCTGAAATACAAAATAAATAAATGCTAATATTATACAGATGGGGCACAGAGAGGCCCAGCCCTTGCCCAGGGTCACAGAGCAAGGCAAGTTGGACTGAACTGCTGCAGCCTGTGGTCTGTTCCAGGCACCTGAAAGCAGATACAGAAAGCTCCAGTGTGCTGGCCTTTTCTCACTGATCACTCAATAATAGCAGCTCTAGGCCAGGAGAGCACATGAAGGTCACTACACACAAGGCCAGGGCCCAGCCAGATCTATGACAGGGGACAACCATGGGACAGACATGAAAGCTCCCAGCATGTAACTCTTAGGGTGAACCTTGGCATGATGAAAGGGGCCTGACTCCTACGAGGCCTTCTTAGGAAACAAAGCATCCCCTCGCTGTTCCTTCCACAATGTGCTCACCTTGATAAACTGTATTAAGCCTAGTTTACATATTTTTACCTCTAGGGTCGTACATCCACCAAATCCGAGGCCAAAACAGACTCACTAGAAAGGAAAATTTCTGTTAGGGAGCAGCCAACACCTGAGAAGGAAGAAGCAAACAAGAAAAAGAAACACATGGCTGAGAGCAGCATACCTGGGGCTCCTGGGGTTCCGCTTCCCCAAGAGCAAGAGGACAGTGATGGGGAGCTTCCAAAAGACACCGCGGAGAAGGAACTGGCCCAGAAGTTCAAGGCCTATGAGATAACGCTGAGGGACATCCAGAGCATCCTCACCTACTGGGACCGGAAGCTGGGCATTCAGTTGCCTCACCTGGGCCTGGAGGAGGTGTCTCATGAGTCAGAGGACCAGCGCCAGGTTCCCTCAGGTGGTGGCGGGGGCGGGGGCGGCGGTGGTGGTGGTGGTGGTGGCGGTGGTGGGCGTCGGGGCCGAAAGGACCGGGAGAGGGAGCGCCTGGAGAAGGAGCGGGCGGAGAAGGAGCGCCTGGAGAAGGAGAAGGCCGAGAGGGAGCGCATGGAGAAGCTACGGGCCATGGAGGAGCGGCTCGAGCCAGAGGGGGACGCAGAGGAGGAGCACGAGGGGAAGAAGGAGATGGGGGTACCCTTCGTGAGCATCCAGACTCCAGACTATGAAGGCTCCAGCTGGAAGCAGGCCCTGAAGAGCGAGAAGCTTCCCAAAGTAGATCAGGTATGTGCTCTTCTCCAAGGTGCAGGCGCAGCCAGGGAGGCCACAGGTACTGTGCTACCATGCTAGGAAAGCATCCCCCTACTGGATGCCTACCTCCCCTCCACGTGTTTGACCTCTGATAGTTCCATGAATGTAAGACACTAATGGCCAAAGGGACCTCTTATTGCTTGGCAAAAGAAAATCCACAGAGACTTCCGCCGTTCTAAATTAGTCTGTTTAGGGGCGGGGATGAAGCTCAGTGGTAGAGTGCTTGCCTAGCATGCCTGTGTTCGATCCTTAGCACCAGTCAATAAACTAGTCAATCAGTCAACTAACCTCATCTGTTCTTTGATCCCAGTACGGACACCACTGGGGCTATGGGATGGCAGGGCAGGTGTGCTTTGGGATCAAACAACAGATTCATCTATTCCAGTAGTGATTTACCTTCCTGGCCCAAAGAATGAGAAACACAGGAGCACAGAAAGGTGGTAAATTGCTGTCCCAGCAGGCCTTTCTCGGTCCACAGAATGGGCATTCAGGTGGGCTTGCACACTGACTGGTGTGACGGCAACGGTCAACATAGCAAATCATGCTTATTTTGAGAAATTTTGCAATCTGTAAGGAAGTTGCTACTAAATTTTCAATCCATCTGCTCTGGAGACAGCACCCACATTTTGTATCAGAGCAGAATGGGAGAATGCTGCAGGGTACATTTTCTCCCTTGAGTTGCTTTTTGACTTCTCACTTCATTCCCATCCTCTGCCTATTTCCAGAACTTTTGCATTGTCTTTTCTTTGCCATATTTGACCTCCTCACATATTAACTTTCTTTTGCCTTTAAAAGAGCATTTAAAGAAAAATTTATATGGAATCTGAAAACAAATGGAAAAACTCTATACTTTAGATATCAGAATCTTAAAGGCTGGTCTGTTTAAATTAAACAGATTGAAGCCAAGTATGATGGCATATACGCATACTCCCAGCACTCTGGGAGGTCCAGGAAGGAGGATCACAAGTTCGAGCCTGTCTAGGGTGCAAGGTCTACAAGGCCCTGCAGAGCTGGGTTAAGGGTCTATAATCCTTTCCCTGAAACATAGTCCTGACAAGAGTTTCCCAAAGAACAATGAAGGAAGGAATCGTATGTCTCCCTTGCGCACTCAGGAGCAGTGAGGGCTCACCAGAGCCTCTGCACAGGATATTAACTTGAGTCTTTGCTTTAGATCCTGGATATCTTGGGTCTGGGGTCCTCTGGCCCACCTGTCCCACCTCCTGCCTTGTTCTCCATCGTCTCATACCCTGAGAAGCGGCTATCCTTAGTCCCCATGGGAGTTCTCAAACACTTCGTGTTTGTGATCCCAGCATCTGAAGACCTTTCCCTGCTGGACGACAAAAAAGAAATGGAAGCAGAATCAGATGTCTCCAATGCCACCCTGTCAACCAAGGTAAAGAGTGTGCAGCCACTTCTCCTGGCCTTGACAGGACCCCAGAGAGCAGGGAAAGATGGTCCCTCCCAGCACGGCAATGCTGAGTCAGCTGTGAGGACCTGCATGAGCCCCCCCTGCTGGGCCTTCCCCACATCTGACCTTGCTACTTCCCAAGGGGCTGCTGCTGAACATGAAGGCTTCTCCCTTTCCAATTTGTTGCCATCCCCAGGGGAGACCTAGGAAACTTGTCACATTGCTCTGGAGCTCCATTGTAAGAAAAATCAGCCAAACTCACTCTTTTAATGCTTGGTACTAAAAAAATGTATTTGAAAATTCTGTGAAGCTATGACTCACACAGTACATAGAACACAAGAATCAAAAGACATGAGTTAAGGAAACACTTGCCACCAGGGGAAGGATAGATTATTAAAGAAATTATAATGTGAAGATTAGATACTTTGGGTAAAGTCAGTTTTCATCTTCTTGCCTGATGATACAATAAAATAAATTCAGGTCAGATTAAAAATAGAAGTAACTAATCAGAATAAAATCATGTAAAAGCAAAAGAAAATGTACATACAATTGATAGAATAAATCACGAAGAGGTAGCCTTAAGCAATAATATCCAGATGGCATGCATATTAAAATTACAGCAGGGCCTTTTATCCCCTGGGAAGAATGGTGGCCACACACACCCTCCTCCAAACCATGCACCTGTACAAAGGAAATAAATACAACCACCTGTAGACCCTGCCTACATCACGGAGCTACGACAGAGCTGACCCCAACTTTAATGTACAAGTGAGCAGAAAGCCAGCTTCAAGGGCAGTAGCAGCCTTGGGTATCCTCAGCCAAGCAGAGCTTCCACAGTAAAATTTCAAGTTGAAAAGACAAAGTAAAAAAAAAAAAAAAAAAAAAAAAAGATCACCATCATCAAAGGTAACTATTGTACCAATCCCTTATTCTGAAAATTAGCCACATAAAGGAAAAAGTTAAGCAACTTTTAACATACCATTTTAGGAGGCGCGCTCATGCTACAGTTGCCAAAGGAGAGCTCCTCACTGTAGGAGCATGGCGATTTAAAGTCATAGAACTCATGGTAGAATTAGAAAATCTCTGTTTTGTTATCCCCAGTGAAGTAACCAACAAAGGCTCCTCCATCAGTGGGTACGAAGAGCAGAAGGTGGAGACTGTTAGGGAGCAAAGCACTCACACCAGCCGCCGGAGCACCTGCCCCAGGGTAACTGGCTAGATGCAGAGGGAAGGATGTAGTTTACCGTGCACAGGTCTAGCCAGGCAGATGTGCCTTGTAACGTAAGCATGGGTCACCTGGGCATCGTTTGCCTCTTGGGTTGGCATATGAAGTACATGGCATCACCTATGAATCAAATCAAGCTTCTAAGCCTAATTCTCAATTTATAGGAAATACAGGGAGGAAGGGAGGAAGTTAAATGACACTGTGAGAACAGTCAGTAAAATTCAGACTGTGGCAAAAAGTGTGGATCTGTGTAAGAATGTGACGCTGGTTTCTCCAAGAAATCAACATTACTAAGAGAGGCTGGAGAGATCTAGCAAGACACTAAACTCTGGGTTTCACCTTCAGTGCCATGACCCCCTAAAAGGATACTAAAATGTAATAACAAAAAATAGTTCTAAACAGACACTCCTGGGACAAATAGAAGCATTGTAGTGTGGACTGTGGGCTGGGATGCTGCGAAGAGCTGAGATCCCTGTCCTACCACTCCCAGCCAACTTCCGGTTTGTACTAGGGCTTCAGTCTCCTCAGTAAGGTGCCAAGGAAAACCCAAGTCTTGTCACTGACACGTGAGGCTGCATCTTGCCATGCACCCAAGTCCAGCGCCTGCAGCTCCATTACCCCAGACTTCTGGTGAGCTGTAAGCACCTCTGTCCTTGTTAACACAGATATCAGAGAAGTACATAAGATTTTGTGCTTTTTTTTTTAATTAATGGCCAGGAGGAACAGGCTATCTCGTCTAAAGCAAGCAAACAGAAACTGAAAGAAAAACCTGAACAAGTCCGGGACACTCAGAAGGACAAACGTCGCCCAGCTCAGGGCAAGAAAGCTGCTTCAGGGGGACCTGCTGGAACCGCTGCTGCCCTGCCAGATATAGACCAGAACAAATTCAGTGGGCAGCCCTCCCAGGAGAAGTTTGTCAGGTAGGCCTCTGGTCACCGCAGGGACAGACACTGAAGCCCCAAGTTAGGGGTAGCACTGTCACAGCACCAAAGGGAACAGGAAGGCCCACTACATCCAACCCCAGAAGGATGGGGCACTCCCTGACAGCAGTCCTGTCTTCTCTTGTTGGAAGGAAGTGCAGTCCCTTTAAAATCCTGTGTGGTCATTTCAGGCTGAATTACTTCCGGTGGATCGTGCCAGCCAATGGAGAGGTGACGCTGCGCATCCACTTCTCCTCTAACCATGTTGGGAACTTTAACCAGACTTTCAACTTCGAAATCCTTGGAACTCGCCGCCAATACCAGCTTTATTGCCAAGGCGTCTGCACTTACCCATGCATTTGTCAAGACCCAAAGTAAGTGTATTTTATTTTACAAAGAAAGGTCAACAGGTACAGTTTGGCTTTCCTGTGTGGTACATTGAACAAAGTCTTCCTGAATAACATGGCACCCAGCACGGTGGCACATACCCATCATCCCAGCAGCTGGCGCAGGAGAATCACAAGCTTGAGGCCAGTCTAGGCTTCATAGCAAAACCCTGTCTCTAATAAAAGTAACACCAACAATTACAATAACATGGAACTTAGACAGCATCCCAGACGTGCCTGTTGCACAAAGCTTCACAGTTTTGGACATTGACTAAGAGGTACAGGGATGACATGATTACATCAGGTGTTCCCATTCTAAGATAGATCAAATTAGAAGTATAGAAAGGAAGGAAAAAAGTCTTCCTCCAGCAAGTTAGCATGCTAATTTAATTATTTAGCAGATTTAAACAAGTTTCATATTTACTCCAGGACTTTACTCTTTAACATGAATAAATGTGTGAATCTCCATGGGTGGCTTTTTTTCCTGAACTCCTAGCACCACCAGGCAGTTCAGTTCATGCACCACATACAGGTGCTTCACTCAGTAAGTACTGGAGGAAGGGTCTTTTTATAGTATGTTCACTGTCCACTGAGAGTTTTTTTGCCATTCTCACCAAAGGACCTCATAGTACCAAGGAACTCAGAAACTACTGAATATCCACCAGAACTCATTTTCTGTAGTGATTATTGGAAATTTTTCTAGCTGGGCACACTAGAACAAAACATCAAACTCATTCCTTGTTGTGTAGGACACCCTGGGAGTCTGTTTCTCAAATTCAAGCCATAGTGTCTCTTCATAGGTTTGGAATAAAGCTTCACTAGACAGAGGTCCTCAAATTAAGAGTCTCTGTGTCTTCAGACTCCTGGGGCTACTGCAGAACAGGAGTGCTGAGTTCATGTACATACTACATGGTGGCATTGAACTTCCCATCTGTCAGCCTCCTCTTACCTCTTCCTCCTCTCTGTTCAGAGTGGTGTTTCCTCAGCAGAAGCAAGACATGACAGCAAATGAGGTCATCTTTAAGAAGTATATTATGAGCATGGAGAGGTTTTACTTCGGGCCTCTGCTTTGTGGAAAATCAAGAGACAAGTAAGTGTTCTGTTATTTCAAAGCACACTTTAGACTCCTGAGTTGGGCTTATGAGTTGTCCAAGTAGAGTTTTTATAGAGACATAGCTTACATAGCCACTGCGTCAGCCCCAAACTACAAACCTGGACAATGGGTCCTTGAGTCCCAAGTTAAATGCCCAGATGAATCAGATGCCACTTTTCCCTTTGGAGCAGCTGGGAAAAGACCAGGTTTCAGAAAGGTAGGGTAAAGCATTGTCTTGGAAATACATCAAGTCTTAAATTCTTGGAAGATTTCTCTAGAAGCCACATAAGACGGAGAATAGGCTACATAGTTTGGATTCTCCAAAGAGAGATCTTTCTTCAAGATACCAAAAGCCATAGGTAATAAGATGGCCTGAGAAGAATGCACATATTTGTTTTTAGAGAAGGACCCAGGGTGGATCCTTGAAGAACTTCACCAAGTCACATGTGGTATTCTCAGAGGCAAGCCCGCACAACTATAAGTCTTGTTCTCAGCCACCACACTACTGCTTCAGTGTAAACACTGCCCTTTGCATTGCCATTCAGGCCTTACAACAACCCCATTCCCGTTCACTTCCAGGTACAAGTCATCCTTATTTCCAGGCAACACGGAGACCCTGACAATCCTGAACATTTCCCCCATGCTGGTGGAGGTGTGCTTTTGCTTCCAGAATGACGTCAAAGCAAGCACCTACTTTCTGGAGCCTGTCAACATGACTCTGAAGCCCAATGAGAAGCAGGTAAATTTGCATGGAAGATTTAGGACAAGACTTCATGGGAAATCTGAGGCCTTGGGAGTGTCAGAATAAATGCAGTTTCCTTTAATTCTTCCATCAGAGGCTAAATATCTGGGCGTACCCTACTGCAGTTGGAGTCTTTGAGGACAGCATTGTCTGCTGCATCAAGAACAACCCTGAGCCAACTATCTTCAAACTAAGCTGTCAGGGAATCCGCCCAGAGCTAGAGCTGGAACCCAAACAACTACATTTTGATCGGCTTTTGCTGCACAGGTCAGAGTTCTAAATGATGCTAGGTCTGGAATGGAATTTAAACATTTAGTTCTAGAGTGGCCAACATCAGAACTTGCCTTCCACTTTTCTGATGTTAGAACTGGAATTCCTGCATCCTAGGAAACTCCATGTTTGCATAAAAACCCAGATAATCAATGACCAACCCTATTATGGTCATCAGTTGTTAATTTGGGTTCAGGACGTGAACTTTAATAGAATCCCCCAGGATGAACTAAACCCCTTAAAATCAACAGCCAAAGAATGTGTATGCTTTTCTTTTTCTCACACTCTCAAAGTGGTCTATTTCCTGAAAGAGTAAGAATCTCTACAAATTAGAGCACAGAGGATACTCAACTGAATCTAGAACTTGTATATCCACCCATTGGAGTTGTAGTATTGTAAGTAGAGACAGTTTATTACTGATGCTGCTGGGAGGTAATATTGTCGTCATATGTGTCCTGCACTTCTCAGTCTTTGCTACCAGACTCCTTCCCTAATAAACACTGACTGGTGAACTAAATGGGAACTGATGTGACCAAAGAGCTTTTTCCAACTCCACAGAGAGGTCTGTATTGTAGGCAACTGTAACTGTGCAACAGGTAGACTGAGATGGGACCCAAGTTTTGCCACTCTATCTGGAATTTAGGACTATTCATTAACCTCTCTCAGCTTCAGTTTCTTCATAGAACATGAGCAGTTAATGATACTCATTTTACCCATGTCATTTCTAAAAATAAAACACATTCTACTAATGTGACATATCATTGTCACGTAATTGCAGCTGCCTACCCCACCTGCTCCCTCTTTGAAAATGTGATTATTGGATCATATTCACACACCAAATGCCACACTCGATGGCAGTCCTCCGTCAGTGGGTTAGAGTTTTCTGCAGCCCCCTGACCAGCCTAGTTCATTGTCTTATCTGAAACATCACGAGTGGTGAATCTAGATGTTTACATTGAAAAGTTACTTTTTAAAAAGGCATGCCGCCCTTTGAAAGCATGGGAGTTTACTTTTGGCAGGAGTGCTTGGCCACTAACTAAAGGAAGCTTTGAGAAAAAGACAGGACAGATGAGCCAGATAGGTCACTTGCTTCACAATGAAAAAGAGGCACGAGAAGGTTTTTCTGCAGAAAATCAAAGACACTTGGCTTCGGTGGAACCCTGTTCTGTTGGTGTTAACTGCACACCTGTCACAGTGTGGAGGGAACCATCTCAGCCACTGAGGACTTTCCAGTCTTGTAGGAAAACAAGCAGGCAAACAACTAAGAACAAGTAACTGTGCAATCCAAAGCCAATTGTCTTAGGTAAACTGATGTTCAGTGATGAATAGAAAGTAACCCAAAGATGACCAAGACTTTGGAATTAGCTGACACTATGACATTAAATCATCTATTATAACTATGTTCAAATTTGTAATGAAACATTGGGCCAAGATGAATGTGAATGAGTAATATGAAAAGCCAATAAAGGAAATGGAAACTATATTTTTAAAGCACAAGTAAATATCTTAGAATAGACCAGTACGATACCTGAACTGAAAATTTTATAGAATGAACTATTAAAGAATCAATGAATTTGAAGATAGAATTAATATAATTATTCAGTTTAAGAATAGAGAGAAGGGGCTGGGAAGATAGCTCAGTAGTCTAAGCGCCTGCCTGGCAAGCACAAGGACCCAGGTGCCATCCCCGGGCATGCCATGCTGCCCCAGAACTCCAGGTGCATTGTGCCAACGACCACTGAAACCAAACATGGTGGCGCACGCCTATAATCCCAGCGTTGGGGTGGCTGAAACAAGAGGATCACTATGAGTCTGTTCTGTGTAGTGAAACCCTATACCCATTTTAAAAAAAGAGAGAGAGAGAAAGAGAGAGAAAATTTGAGCATAGTAGTTCATGCCTATAATCCCAACACATGAGGCAGGAAGATCACTGCAAGTTCAAGGGCAGGCTGGGCTACAAAGTGAATTCAAGGTAAATGAGCAGGATCCCAGTAAACAGGGTAGCCACATCAAGCAATATAACTGATGTATACTGATGTCCAAGAATAAAAAGAGAAAGAGTGGTCCAGAAAAATGTTAGAAGAGTAGATGAAATGTTCCCATATTTGATGATAAAGCATAAACTCACTGTTCTAAGAAGCTTAAACCACCTTAAGCTGGATAAAGGGAGTTATAGCCAAGTCTTGCCAATAGATCTATGGCTGTGAAGCCATCAGTTAACCTCTGGAAAGTTCAGTTTTTTTATAGATGACATAAGGTTAACTATACCAACCCCACCTATGATAGATGCATGATATATTAATAACCAAGAAAGAAGGTCAAGCCAGAGTCTGTAACACCTCCTTAAAGCCAAAGATAAAGAAAAATTCTTGAAAGCAGCCAACGGGAAAATGAGGTTGATTATGACGGACTTCTCATGGGTCACAAAGGAGGCTGAGGTAGTACAATGGGCTAGAAGAAAATATTTTCAAATCAAAATTCTATAGCAACAAAAATATTCTCTATAACTGGAGAGAGAATACTAGATAAATAAAACTGAGATCATTTATTGCCAGCATTTCTACAGTATTAGAAATTCTAAAGGAAGTGCTTTAAGCTAAAGGAAAATGATACCCTCAGAAACTCAAAGCTATAGGAAATAATGAAAAGCACTGAAAATTTGAAATATGTTGCCAAATATAAAATATTTCATTTCACTTTCTTGATTTAATTAAAAGGCAATTGTTATAAACAAGCATATTAACACCATATAATGGGATTAGAAAGGTATATAGATGAATAGATGATTGATAGATAGATAGATAGATAGATAGATAGATAGATAGATAGATGCATTAATAATACCACATAAGTTAATGGTAGGTAATAAAGGAAGTGACTATTATTGCAAGTATATTGCATTTTATATTACATGATACAGGAGCCAAGGAGATAGCTCAACAGTCTAAGCGCTTGCCTGGCAAGAACAAGGACCCAGGGGGTTTTTTGGTTTGGTTTGGGGTTTCTTGTATTTTTAGGACAGGGTCTACAGGGTCTCACTATGTAGATCAGACTCCTGTGTTCAGCCTCCAAAGCACTGGGATTACAGGCATGCACTACCACGCCCAGTCTCAATCTCTGTCTCAGCATGTCTGGGGGGCAGGGCCAGCACGGCGCCGGGGATTACACCCCGACTGCTGTGTCTGCCTAAGCAGGCACTTTAATCTGCTGAGTTATTTGGCCAGCCCAAGGAGCCAGATTTGATCCCTGGTATCACACACTGTCCCAGCCCCAGAACCCCAGGCATGCCGTGCTGGCCACTGAAACCAGCAGTGGTGGTGCATACCTGTAATCCCAGTGCCGGGGAGGATGAGACAGGAGGATCACTATGGGTGTGAGCTACACAGTGAGACCCTGCACCAAAAGAATGAATGAATGAATGAATAAGCTTAAGTGATATAATATTAATTCTAGGTAGACTAGGAACTTAAGACAATATAGTAGTACTTTGGTTCATTAACTTAATTCATTCCATGATTCTGGAAAACATGGCCATTTTCCTATTCATGTGGGAAAGGTGGCTGAGGTCATGTCCATCACCCAGTACAGAATTTGTAAGCCAAAACAAAATTTTGCCAAATGTTTCTGTTTGTGAACCAAATTATTTGCAAACAGAAGTATTCATGAATCCATGTACCACTATAGATACATAGAGATAACTAAATAGAAAGTCAGATAAATAGATAGATAGATAGATAGATAGATAGATAGATAGATAGACAGATAGATAGATAGACAGACAAACAGGTAGATAGATCCATAGACAGATAGTAATCCCTAGAACAACTAGTTAAAAAAAAATGCTAGCACAAAGTGTTGGCCTGCTAACTCAGACCCACACGAATAAGAGTTCCTATCCAATAACAAGTTTTACTAACAGTTTCAATGATACAAAATACTAGAAGACACAGACAAGGAAACATGATGTCTGGGACACACTTTATGAGTACTTAGGTTCTTTTCCACATCAAGCATGTGCTTTCTAGATTAGAGTAGCAAATAGCTCAGCCTCTAAATGAAGATTTTAGGTAACTTTACTCAGCAGGTAAAATTGAATATGTAATATATACAGTTTGCAAAAAAAAGTATATATCAATATAGCTCAAGAAAAGAAAAACTTGGATAAATATTTTAATACTAAATTAATTGAGACATCATGAGATTAATACAAGGTACCTTTGGCCTCTACAATTACAAGAGGTGCTCAAAGTATTCCAGGTGGTCGTCTCACTTACATGAAATTTTCCAGGCTGGGGAGATAGCTCAGTAGAATAAGTGCTTGCCTGACAAGTGCAAGGGCCGGAGTTCAATCCCGGGTTCTGCAAAAAAAAAAAAAAGAAAGAAATTTTTCAGGAAGTTCACTTCCATACTCCAGAGTTCAGTTTATTACATAAGCAATCCTGGATCAGGAACATCTGTTACCATTCCACACACATATCTATCTACCCTCAGATCCAACTAACGTCATGTTTACAAGGAAATTAGACCCAGTCACCTGGTTTCTTCACTGTTAAGGCTCATCGCAACACAATGAGGAGAGGAACTGATCACAAACCAGATTCTTTAAACCATCCATCCCAGCAGTTATAACTAAAACATCTATACATCAAATACAGTGAAAGTATCTGATTAAACTAGAGAAATATTTTATAAAGATGGAAGAAAGAAATGGAAACAGAAGGGACAGACAGCACAGCCTTTAAGACATTTTATTGAGAAACAAATAGCAATGAGACAGTTTCAAAACCGATTAATAGGACAGTTTCAATAATTAATACATTGCATATTGTTGTCTTCATAGTGGTTATTCACAGTAGAAGATGCAGACATGATATCCTGTCCAAATACTATTAGTA